CTTTCTGTGAAGGATGCACAGGGATCCCTGTTGGCTTGTTTTCTTCTGGGTTTGTTTCCCTCCGGGCCCACTTCCCTCTGCTGCTGCCTCTGCCTTATGTTTCTGAATAAGAAGACCTTAAAATACTTAAGCTCTAGGCCAGCTGTTCAAGGTATGTCATGCTGCTAGCAGGCCTGGTGCTTTTCACACAAGCTGTAAGGGCAAAGCAGTGTGTTAGAAGCAGCCTTCTGGAGGATACACAGAAACACTTTGCTCTCCCTCCAAGTTTCTGCTCTTAAGCTGACATAGACCTAACAGTGGATGAGCAATGGATATTTCTGAATTGTCCTCATCCCTGATTGCAGGAGGAGCTCAAGCTCCTGCCTTCGATGCCTGACTGTGAATGGGCCCTCCTGCTAAGCTTGGTCCACATGAAAGACTGCAGCCATACTGGGGATGCTTAATGTAAACAGGCACCAAATTACGTGACAACACAAGCCAGGTACTCACATTAAAGCTCTGGACTCTGAGGTTTCTCTGTGTCTGCCCTAAGCTTCCACCTAGTTCCCAGACAGTGGTGCTCAGGCCTTTGCTGTAGCAACCCAGTGTGGAGAACTGATTCCTTCTTTGGGACTTTACCATAGCTCAGGATGCTTCAGTGTGCACTGAGCTCTGACAGGGGCTGGGAAGGAATGGGACTGCTGCTTTCCATGTCTGCTCCTGTGAGCAGATTAAGGTAACAGTGGGGGCATGAATCAGGTTGTTATAGCACCCTCGGCATCATTTCAGCAGGGTAGATTCAGTGACGTGGAAGTTGGTTGCCTTGTTTTACTAACCAGACACCTGTAAATAGAAGGGCTGCACATCAAGAAGCTTTTTTTTTTTCCAAACTGGGAGAATTGTGTGCATGTTCCTTTCAAAAAGTTGCTTATGAATTCTAATAGAACAAAATGCAATGAAGTAACATGAGTTTTTGAAAGTGGAAGTTATCAGTTTCCCTTCATAAAGACTAAGCTGACCACTAGAGATTCTTACAGTGGTTTTGCAACTGCAGGAATTGGAAGAAAAGCATATCTGCCTAGAGCTAGAACTTCTTCCCAGAAAGAGAACTTTTTCCTTCTGGTATCTGGCATCTTCTGGAACTGCAGCTCTAAAACAGCTGGAAGAACACATGCAAAGTTAGGTAGGAAAGCTAGACAGCAGAGCAAGGCTTTGCTTCCTAGGACTGTGTGGAGAGAGAGGTTGCCTTAGTACAACACAGGAAGTTAATAAGGGATTTTGAAAAAAGCTTTTGCTCTAGATTGCATTTTTCACACTGTTCTTTCAGAATTTGTGCTCTTGTGAATGTCCACAACAAGGCCTGTATTTCTCTTCCAGCCTCAAGGCTGGAAGTGACTGATTGAAAGCCACAGATCAGCAAAAAAACAAAATGAACGAAGCCACTCAGAGCAACCTGCAAGCCTTTGTCTCAGTAACCTAGTTAACCTCTGTGAGTTTTGCAAGCTCCTGAGCCTAGTTAAGCAATTCTGTGGGGAAAATGCAGGATGACATTTTCCTGGAGAGCCTACGAGAGCTGAGTTCCCAAGCTGGGCTGACCATAGGCTGCTCTGAAAATCCTGCCAGTCATTTTCCCACCTTTGTGGTTTTGAGAGTTTGCCCATGATGCTATGGCAAGCTGTACTTAACACTAGAGAAGATAAGGATTTACACTAACATGCTGGTGTAACAATTTTGTTTTAGGTCAGTAGCGGTATTGAACACCTCAGGCTGCACTGTTGACATTCCTCCTGCATTAGAGGTATTTGTCAAGTTTGTAGAACTCTGTACAGCACTTGAAGTGCCTCATCATCATCCCCGATACAGTGGTTACAATTGTTATAAAGCAGTGCTTTCAGCTGAGGCCTATGTGAAGCAAATGATTGTTGGTTTAGGTCTAGGGAAGTAGGGATGTGACTGCAAGCCCGGTGCTGTACTGATATTGGCAAGAATAGCAGTGATGTGTGAACTTCAGGAAGAAAAACTGCATATATAAAATAACAAAACTTAATTTTTAATGTTTGTTATTAAAACATATAAAAAGGAGAGCAACAAAACCACAAAACCAGTGGGATACGTGACCTTGTTTCTATAAAACAACTGCATCAGGCTGGATCGATGGCAGTGGTTGCCATTCTCAGTGAGTACTCAAAGTGTTCATCAGTTTTGATGAAATTTTACTTTTCCTGTGCTTCAGCTTTGAAAACAGTTGTTCACAAACATACGTACAGCCAAAAGCGGTGACACAAGTAAGGCGGAGGATATTTCTCTCCGGTAAAATGAGGCTTATAAAAGGCTGGTATAGAGACACAACCAAACTTTTAGTTGCAACTCTGTACATTCCATTTCAAAATTTGCAAGTGATGTATTTGTGTCAACTGAAAATGGAGTCATAAAGAAAGCAAAATTTGATTTTTTTTTTTTGCAATCTTGAAACCTGTTCTTAATTTTCATTGTCAAAATGGAAAGCACAGCTTCATTTCTTTCCACTGTTAAAGGACTGTGTTTAGCCAATGTATCAAAATCCATTTTGATACGTTATTTACCATTACTTCATTATTCATTATTACCAACATTATTTACCATCACCTGACTTAGCACTGCACTGTGCCCCATGCCCTCCTTTCAGCCCAGATGGGGCAAACATCGCACCAATGTTTGGGGCTGGGCTGGGCTGCAGTGCGAGCTGTGCTGGGTTGCATGTGGGGCATACCTGATCCATGCCTTTGGGAACTGAAATAAATTCTCAGTGCGTTACACTAGTTTTTGGTTTTTTTTAGCAGACATTCATCATGGTTTCTCATGGTTTATAATTTGTAAATATTTGAAAGTTTTATTTAATTTTGTTATCAACTAAAATGTACCTAAACCAAAAAAAAAAAGAAAAATCCAATTACAATGTACCTAGATCTACAGCAACACATAAGTCTTTGAAACTGCAGCATGACCTGATCGATCTATGTGGTTCTGAATATATGAGGGTACTGCATTACACAACTACTCTTTCACTGTTTTGAAAATAACATCTCTTGCTTCTCACTTAGAGGTAGCCTAAAGAAATCCTTTCTGTGTTCTCAATAGAAAACTAGTTGTTAATCCAACCAAGGGTTAACAAACTGTGTGCGTGAGATAGTGTGAGAGCTTCAGACTGGACTGGGAACAAGCAAAACTGTATTTAAGCATACAATTTGGCTGCATAGGGCAGTAGAAGTGGAATACCAAAAGACCACCGCAGCTCCAGCTCTCCACCTAGACAGAGCTGGAGCTGCTACAGTCTCTACCTGCCAGATGCATGCAACTACCCAATTCTCTTCAAAGCCCTGGAGCAAGCAATGCAGAAACATGCTATCTGCCCAGCAGGCTTGTAAACACAACAGTTGCAAAGCGGGTGTAGTAAATCACCTGTGGATAGTGATAGGACAAGGGGAAAAGGTTATAAACTGAGACAGAAGTTTTAGGTTAGATATTAGGAGGAAGTTTTTCACACAGAGGGTGGTGACACACTGGAACAGGTTGCCCAAGGAGGCTGTGGATGCCCCATCCCTGCAGGCATTCAATGCCAGGCTGGATGCGGCTCTGAGCAGCCTGGTCTGGTGGTTGGCAATCCTGCACATAGCAGGGGAGTTGAAACTAGATGACGGTCCTTTTCAATCCAGGCCATTCTATGATTCTATGACCAGACAATGAACAGCACGCTGTTATCAGTCCAACAAGCCTTTGCAGCCATTGCTACTCCTTGGTAAACACACAGTGATTTAATAGGGGAAAAAAAAGACCGGGAAAAGTGAGTTTTCGACTGCCATTTTGTACCTCAGAGCTGCAAGGACTGTGAGCTAAATTATCCAGCTGTATTAAGTTATGTCAAAGGAAAGGTGAGTCTTTAGCAGACTAACCCAAATGCCAATGCTTATGCAACACTTAAGCCACACTTAAGCCCTTACTTGAAAATCTTCCAGTGCTACATGGATCTTGTACTGGGTAACAGAACAGGAAAGAATCACCTCATGCAGACAGGAATAGCAATTACTTGATAGTACTCAGAGAAAGCTCCAGATTACCTAAGGAGAACACACAGAGAGGATGAGGAACCACAACAGGAAAGACAAACTTCTGAAAAATAAAAAGGAATTATTTGTTTTTAAACAAGAATTAATTTAAAATATTCTTTAAAAGGGCTATATTCAAAATCATCCATTAAAAATAAATAAATAAATAGTATGAACAAAGAAGGGAAAAAAGATGTAAAAATTGAAGACAGAAAGCTGACAACTGGTATAGTAACAGTTCTAGTAATTAATTCTGCAATCTTTTCAGCAAATAAAAGAATGAAAAGTTTCTATTGTACCCTTAAGGTTATATCCACAAGCCCTGTAGCTAAATTTCAGCACAGCTTGCCAACCAGCTTAAGAAGAACCTGAGATAACTACTTGCTCCTGGAAAGAGCAGTAAGATGGCACTCTGTGTTGTCACCTCTTAAATAAAGTCCTGCAATTCTTCTAACGTATCTGGAAGAAAGTAAATACACCCACCTAAAAACACATCCTGCTCACCATTTCTCCATTAAATGATTAAGGAGATGCTCTCAAAGTAGCTGCTCACAGAAGTTAGGTTTTGTTTGCCTGCAGTTTCAGCAAAAAAGTTTTTTCTTTTTCTTAAGTATTTTTTTAGCTCTTTAGAAGAAAGATCAAGCCCGAAACAACAGCCTTGTTTGCCGTCTCTTCACTTTTCAGAACTAAGATGCAAGCAGCAGTTCCTAAACATAGGAAAAACTTGTGATTTGAGATCTCTATTAAATAAAACCCACAGGGAGGCCAAGAATTAACCCTGCAGACACACGGATCCTTATCCCTGCTGCTATTTCAGCAGCACCAGGCAGCAGCACCGCCACACCGCGTTGCTAGGCGCCTCATGGAGCGACCGAGTCTGCGCATGCGCACACTCTCCTGCGCTCCGCGGCGCACGCCCTCTAGCATCGCTGTGGCTCCGCCTCCCGCTGCGCATGCGCGGGACTCCCGGCTCTGGCAGGGGGTCCCAGGCTGCCCTCCCGTCTGTAAGCGGGGCCGCGGCTCCTTGAGCGCACGGCGGCTTTGCGTGTAGTGCGCGGGGCTCCCCGGCCCGGCGGAGTGCTGAGGCGACATGAAGAAGATATTCGGCTTCGGGAGGAAGAAGAAGGGGAATCCGCCGCCGTCCGGTGACGCCGCCTCGCCGTGCCCCGCCGGTGCGTACGAGCTCCGCCAGAAGGAGCTGGGCAAGCTGCACCGCGCGGCCGCCGCCGGAGACCTGGCCCAGGTGCGGCAGGGGCTGAAGAAGCACGGCATCGACGGGCGCGACAAGGCGCAGCGGTAAGGGCTGCCGGCCGGGCCGGGGACCCCCGCTGCCTGACCTGGGACCGCGCTTGGCTGGCACGGGCAGAGCGGCCGCTGCGATGTGCCCTGCCGGCCTGTTTCCCTCGGGGATTCTTCGTGGGGCTGGCGGGACTTCCTCCGAGCTGAGAACTCTCTTGGGGGGCTGGTGGGCCGGGGCAGCGACAAGGCTGCAGGTTTTCTGAAGGCTTTCCTGCTTGTGAAGCTGATGGTGGTTCCTTCAGGTTGTCGTATTTCCCAGTGCTTGACAACAGCAGTTTTTGGGCGATGAGGGACTCCTGCATAGTTGTATTGGTTGTGGTTACATTACCTGTCCGAGCCCTTTGCAATGCACTGCTAACACTGCGTGCAGCTCAGCTCTCAGATAATCATCAACAGGCTTCTCTTCAGAGATGAATGATCTTGCACATTCACTTGGGAATTTCTCAGTGGGGACAGTCACCCTCGAGTGACTGCTCTGTTGCTTCTGCCGTTTGTTCCATGTCTGTGTCAAGGCACGATGAGTTCCTTGAAGTTCTGCCTGTTTTTTCATCCTGTCTCGCTCCTATTCATAGGATGGGAAAGGAGGTTCTTTGATACATGTATACCCGGTGTGAGATTAAGAAACAACAGTTCAAATGTTGGTCCAACCAGTTTATTGCAAACCTAAATCATGGAGGTGGGAAGAGGAGGACAGACACTATTATGAATTAGGGTAATGGAGAAGGGAAGATGTGCATTAGAAAAGATAGGAAAGAAGCAAGGAGTCTTTATAGGAAGCAAGAGGGAGATAGTCAGTCACTACCATGGATCCAGCGTGGTTCACAGTTCAGTCATTGATCTTCAGTAGTGGTGGGTCGTTGGGCATTGTTGTTTGTTGACGACAACTTTTCAGTGGTAGTACCAACTTATAAGTCAGAAGTGGTCGTGTCAGCTGTCTTTGGAGTGACAGCTTCTGGCTCTGGGATCTCAGCAGAAACTTCTTTGTTCTCATTTTCCAGGCCTTGCCAGCAGATAAGAGGGAGCAGGGATGCCCACCTGCATCCTGTTTTTCATAGGACACAATGGTGTCATTCCCCAGTTTTCCCATACCAAGCTGGAGCTATTTAGTCACGGGCTAGATCTTCTGCCATTAAACACTCCTGTGCACTCCCTTCTGGACGCAAGCAGCTCTGGAGGAAGGTGCTTTCATATGTCCACAAAGTGATGTTGATTGTCACACGGTAGCACCCATCACTTGCCTCCTCAATAAAGCAGAGTCTTATCACAAGAAGTATCTCAGGAAGCAAGCTTTGAGCCAAAAAAAAAAAAAAAAGAAGAAGGATTCTGACACATCCTCATCTTCTCTGCCTTGAAGGAAGCTGATCTTTTGGAGGAGGCTCATCAGCCTGCCCGTGGTGGGATCTGTTAGGACAAGAGGGAGCAGCCTCAGGTTGCACCAGGGGAAGTTCAGGTTGGATATTAGGATAAATTTTCTCCAAAAGAGTGGCTATGCACTGGAACGGGCTGCCCAGGGTGGTGGTAGAGTCACTGTCCCTGGAGGTATTCAAGAAACATTTAGATGTGGCATTAAGGGACATGGATTAACACGCAACATTGGTCATAGGTGGACAGTTGGACTGGATATCTTGGAGGTCTTTTCCAACCATAATGATTATGTGAGAAATGGCTGCGTTTCTGAATCATGTCACTGCATTTGCACAGCTCTCCCTTTCCATTCCCATGAGCTGTTGTGCTCCTTTCTGTCAGCGAGGTACCTCAACAGGTGTTTTGTTGCATGGTTACTTGAAGTTTCCAAAATGCAGAAAATCCATGGTGAAGCACTTTAAAAACAAAACAAACAAAAAACCAACTCCCTATAGGTTCCTGAGGAATTGCAGGATTTTACTGTGTGACCTTTGAGGAAGAAAGATCCTGACTGCTTTCTAGCTCAACCCCTGCTCTGTTAAAGCAGATGTCACACTGAGCAGCAGGAACTGTGCCTTCTACACAAGCACAAACCAAGCTTGTGCTGCTCTGCCCTATGATTTAGGGGAGGAATGCCTGCAGGTTCTGTTTGGGTGACCGTGGCTTTGGATACAAGCACGCTGGTTAATTGGCATCAGACCCTTAGCAGTTCCACAGTTTGAAAGAGCCCCTTTCTTTCTGTCTTGTCTAGTGGAAACACAGCTATCCCTCCTTGAAGAGGACTTCCTCTGTGATATCCTATTTATATCATAGTTAAAAGCATCAGGAATATTAGATATTACTTTCTTGTAGCCAGGATAGTAGTGTTCTGCTGTCTGCTCTGCTAGATGTTGCCAGATGTTTGGTGCGAAAGTGCTCTACTGGTTTCAGTAATAACCAAGCTAGCACGTGATTTTTTTTCTAAAAAACTCTTATCTTGCATCCGTGGTACAATTCTAGTGTGTGAATGATCCTGGAAGAACCTAGGGGTTTACATGCATGCCACCATAGACCTCAGATTCCCAAGCTTTAGTCTCCCTCATTGTACCGTGAGTGCATTTCTGTCAGAGGCTATGAGCAGTGCCTTGACACAGAAATCTTTGTGAAAGTTCAGTTTTACAGTGCAGGAAATGTTGTCTCATTAAACAAATGCAGTGGAAGGTTGTTCCTAGCCAGCCTCAGGCTTTGGATATACAGCTGTTGTTACTGGTAATGGATTAAGCTTGTTGTTTGTTTGTTTGATTTTATTTTATTATGTTTATTTGGGGAGGTAATTGGGATGGAGAAATGAATTTTGCCCTATCCATGTACCACAGAGTGAAATTATTTATTTAGCTGTCAGTTTCAATTTACACATTTAATTTTTAGGACACCACTGCATCTTGCTTGTGCAAATGGACATGCGGATGTCGTTACGTTTCTAGTAGAAAACAAGTGTAAGCTAAATCTTTTTGACAGTGATAACAGATCACCACTGATGAAGGTAAGTAGAACATGTTATGCTGCTGCAAGTAGGAATTATTGATTATGTACTAAATGATGGATGTCTTTCTAGATTCTTTACAAAAGTCTGTGTAGAAACATGCAAGCTATAATCGATGCGGGGTAGGTGTATGCTAGCTTATCTTGAAAGATACTTTTATATTCCAGGAGTGGGAAGTTGTAGTAGTTGTGACACAGTGAAATATGACTGCTGGAAATTTTACCTTTTTTTGTGTGTTGTTTCCAGGCAGTACAATGCCAGCAAGAAAAATGTGTGGTAATCCTGCTAGAGCATGGTGCTGATCCGAACCTGGCAGATGCTAGCGGCAACACTGCCCTTCACCTGGCTGCTGTAACTCCTAACACATTTCTAGCAGGGATGTTAATTGAGCACAATGCCCATATTGATGCTCAGAATAAGGTACATTTTGAGATTCGTCAGGGAAGATTGCATTGATATTTTTATTGAAGATCTTTTGTTTGTTTCTTTTGATTTTTAACTTGAATTATTTCCGTCCTTTCAGGATGGATGTACTCCCCTTACTCTTGCTGTTTCTGAACATCATGAAGAGATGGTAGAGCTCCTCCTTAAAAAAGGAGCTGACATTCATGCTCGAGATCTGTGTGAAAGGTGAGGAGATGGACTAAACTCTGTGGATTACCTTAGCTGTCCTCAGGTTGGACTGATGAGAGGGATGGGAGTGAGAACTGAAGTGGAAAGACACAGAGAAGAGTTTTTTACAGGTCTCAGCTTGGCTGATGTAATGCGTTATTGCATGTTTTCTGCATTGAGAACTGCAAGAAAAGGTTGTTTATGGTAGCCACTGTGGCAAGAAAGTTGCCATTGTGCCAGCAACATTGCTGTTATGCCATAGAGAGTTTTTCAAATTGACACATAGTTTGTATGCAAGTGTTGTTAATGTATAAGTTTTTCCTTCCGTTCATAAAGTGATTTTATTTTTCTTTGATTGAGCAAATTGGAATTAAAATAGTTACAATGTCTGACTAAAATTATTTATTTTGTCTTCTATTTTGGATGCTGCAGAACCCCACTTATGACTGCTGCATCTGGTGGGGAGCTTAAATTGGTGAAAATTCTTCTTCGCTATGGTGCTGATCTTTCCCATAAAGACACTAATGGATGGACAGCTGAGGATTATGCTATTATTCATGGATATGCTAGGTAAACTTTTAAATTTATTGCTAGGTTTTCAGTTATCAGTGTTGAGTTTGGACCTTTTTGGTAACCGCACCAATGGTGTGTTGAGACCTATCTTGAAGATGTGATCATTGACATCTTCTCACATCTTCTCACATACTGTCCATGTGTCTGGTGTCAATTTGAAAGTTGAGGAAAGCTTCTGCTCAAAATTCTCTGTAAGATTTCAAGTGTTTGTTGCTAAGCTCATGTCTGCCTAGGATACCTAGTATACACTATCAAAATGTAGCCCACAGACACAGAGGTTCAACTTGAAAAACTGAAATGTTTTTAAACTCTCTCAAAACAGAGCCATTCTTATTACTGTCTTCAGTTTCACTGACCAGGAGCCACCTATGTTTTGTTTCAGAGGAGACTAGCTGTTACCTCTTTTGTTAAATTACTAAGCAGTTTTACTATTCCTACGCATAAGCATTTTATCCGTGGGTGTTCATTCATAAGAATGCTTGTATTTGTAAAAACTGGACTGCAAAAGGGTACAAGCCAGTACCCTTAACTTAATAACTTCATAGATCTGGATGTGCACCTATAGAATAGATGTGTGTGAATATTTGAGTATGTTCCAGTCATGCAATAAGTAGAGTATGTTACCCTTAGTGAATATACAAATTGTTTTGGCTATGGATATGTCTAGGATGGATAATATGAGGCTCTTATTATTCCATTAAGTGTTGTATACAGCTATGGGATTATTTCTCCCAAATGCATTTCCTCTTTTTCTGTCTATAGTCTTAGTAAACAACTGGCAGAATACGCAGACTGGGAGAACACAGGGGAAGCTTCTGCAGGTGCTTCTCGAGGCATCCAAGTGCCGATGACTCCTCACAAGGCAAGAGCTGCTGGCTTTACATTGGGTGCACCTGCTATGGACAGAGGAGGTAGGATACTTAACTGTGGTAGAGCTAATAGGAAAAATCATGGTGGCCTCTTCTTTAAGTTGGTTTGTATCTTTTAAGTTTACTGTGCTCAGTTTGGACTTCAGTGGAAGCAGCAGGTGGACTGTCACAAGAAGTGTTATGAATGTGCTTGCTTGCTGCTAGTTTGCAGTGCATCTCAACAGGACAGTTGTGATTTGTGTGCATTACATCCATCTGCTCATACAGTTGTCACCTTCACCCCATCAAGTTGCCCTTTTATTTAAGTTTTCCTTTTAGCAAGGGGGAACAGGGAAGACAAGGAACAATCTAGGTTAGAGTGGACTTGTTTTTTGGGTGTGCAGTTTTACTTAGAGATGCTCATTTAGATTGTTGTTCAGAAAAATTCAATTATAAAAGCTGTAGTTTCACCCCAAGTAGTTGTTTTATATTTTATACCAATGAAGCAGCAGATGAATTGCAAGAAGTTGCATGTTTTGTTGATTACCACTGGATTTCTGTCATTTTGCTTAAATAGTTTCGCCTGTTCTAAACTCCTTTTAGAGAGTCACATAATTTCTCACCTTCAATTACAATTGCTTTTGTTTATGCTGTGGGGCATTAACAAAAATTGTCTTGGAAAAGTAACTTCATTAGCAACAATAGTGCAGTGTTTGTGTATATTGTATCTTCTTGGACATGGTTAGATTTCTAAGAAAAAATTCTTCAATTTCAATTAGCTTTATTTAAAAAAAAAAAAAGAAAAAGACTTTGTGATCCAGAAAAATGGTTACATTTTCTCATTGCCTTGTAATTAAAAGAAAGAATGAGTTTGTCAAATCCAGGCAGTGTTCATAAGCTAACATTGCCCTAAGGGAATCTTAAGAAAATTGCTACTTTAATATGAATGCAATTTACATTTCAGGCCCTAACATAGGAGGTTTTGTTTGTTCCTTATTTTTAGGGTCTTGTGTCAGAATCATGTGTCAGATGGGCAGCAGACTGTTCAAACACAATTCATTACTTTTTTATTATAAAGCACTGAGAAATATGAATGAAGAATACATGGCATATTTTTTCTTCCTGGACTTATCACAGATGGAAGAACAGATTTTAGACCCAAGTGATGTTGCCTTTGACTTAAGAGCAGTTGCTTTGAACAAGACAGTGGTTGGAAAAGTTTCTTCGTAGGTTGGTTTTGAAGTTTTGTTTTCTTGTTTTTCAGTAGGGCTCGATACAATTGGTTTAATCGTTGAAATACTGTTTTCACCCAAATCTCACTCAGTTGCTACCCTCTGTGCATGTAGATAGTTGCTCTGGTACCCCATTGTAAGGACTAACAGGCCTGGATTATTTTAAGATATGTGATTTGAAGTATTTTTCTTCTGAGAAGAGGATAGATTTAGGCTAGATATCAGGAAGAAATTCTTTACTGTGAGGGTGGTGAGACACTGGAACAGGTTACCCAGAGAGGGTGTGAATATTCCCTCCCTGGAAGCATTCAAGGCCAAGCTGGAAGGGGCTTTGAGCAACTTGGTCTAGAGGGAGGTGTCCCTACCTATAGCAGGGGGTTGGAACGAGGTGATCTTAAAGGTCCCTTCCAACATAAATCATTCTATGATTCACCTTGTGCTCATTCTCTTAAAGATGACACCAGCAGAGGAGTAGGAGGGCACAGAGAGAAAATTTAGTAGCGTAGTAGAAACAGTATTGGAACTAACTGCAGTCTCTGGCTTGCATCCACACCCTAAATCATGAGAGTCCTTTTAATATGCCATGGTAACAGTCTTCAGAGTGTCCTTTAGAGGAGAAGCCAGGATGCTGAGACAGAGACCAGAGAAATACCCACTTTGGAATTCATTTATTTTCTTTTGCTCTTCTCTATTATTTTTCTGCAATTTAAAATTTTGACCTTATTCTTTCTGCTACTTTTGTACTTTCTAATTAGAAGACTGTGAAGAATGTTGAACAGATTAGCATTTTTTAACAAGTTTGCTCATGATTATTTGGATGTCAAAACATGAACCTTTTTATTAATCACAGACAAATTGGCTTCCGGAACATACTGAATGGCCAACCTCTTAGATTTTAAGTAGGAATTTATTTTTGAGGAAAATAATAGTTGTGCAATTCCTATTTCTAGTATGTCTACAGTGACAGCATTTTTAGCCACTGCAGCACATACTAGTGTATTGTTCCTTCAGTGTTTCCCCAAGTCATTAGAGAAATTGTCTCAGCATTATAAAGCTCTTACAGAAGTATAAATCAGTACTCCTGTGTGATTTATATATTCTGAGGTCAGATGAAACTTTTCCTATATTCCCTCTTAAGGAAATGGAGAAAAGCCAGAAGGGATGAGAAACCATTTAACTGTTTCTTAAGTGTGTGTTTCTGACAGTAGCTGTTTTTCCACATCATTGGGTGTGTATGTGGTAAAATCCTTAGAAGTAGGACAACCTTCTGCTCCAGAGAAAAGTAACAGCTTTGTTGTGAAGGAATTTAATGTAGGGATAGTGTTCCATGGCTTCTCTTTTGAAACATGGATGTATATGTGCACGCAAATGCATGTCATAGTCACAGTGTATTCTCCCAGTGCTGTAGCTTTGTCTGTGTGCTTTTTGTGTTTTCCAAACTTCTGAGATTCTGCGTTTATTCTGATGTCATTGTTTCATCTGTCCTTTCCATGCCTTTCCCTTAATGGATATAGGAATGCAACAATCTCCTAAACAGACACCAAGAACAGGAGAATCAAGGAAAGGTATTCTGCACAGTAGTATTTTAAATACCAAACATGTCTCGTGATGCACAAATACTTAAACATCATAGGTGCTTATTATCTTGCAGATCTGTATCTTGATGGTTTAAGATCTATAAGTTAGAGTGGATTTGGGGTAGCTTTTGTTTGTTTGCACGTTTTGCATGAGTCCTTTTTTTACTGAATTCAGCATTTGCTTTTGTCACTTGTGGTAATGTTTTGGTTTTGGGGTTGTTTGTTTGTTTTGTAATCTGTTCTCCTGTTCATCAGAAATGGGGATGGGCTTCAATTCAACAAGAATCCCTAGAGACTGGATCTCACTTCTGTCAATGCATCACAGCTGTGATTTTGGTCTAGCTGAAAGCTCTTATGAAATTCCTGTCTTGCCTTCTATAGGATAGCGTGACCTGGTTTTGATCACTGGTTATATTTATTATATGTTGAAAGCAAAAGTGCAGATAATTTAATGAGCTGTTTTGATTAATTCTAGTGGTACTCATTGAAGATATAACTGAAGTCACCCGTCCAGAGTTTAACTGTTCCACACAGGAGAAATTTTCTGTTCTGCAAGGAAAGTTAGCCAATAGAGTCATAGCACAGAGTTAGTTATTCAGCTTTATATACAGCAGTATTCCATTAGCACTAAAGAATGTTCTGTGATGTCTGTTGTAGAAAACATTAAAAATCAGGCTGTAAGCATTTGAACCATTTAACGTGTCCTCAGATTAGAAGTTTCAGCCTCTAGGTTTTCTCTACATGAGATTTCATTGAACATGTGTGCTGCATTGCATCGTCAAAAAGCTGTGTTCAGATCAGGGAATGTTCTCACATAAACTCTGGGTTTAGGAAAGGCAGAATTTGTACACTCATTTGTACCCTTCATTTTGTTGTAACTTAACAATTAGTTCAGAAACTTCAGGAAAGATGGCTTCTACATGGCAATCAGATGTTTGTTTTCCCTTCTGTGCTGGGAATCAAAAAGTCCTTCTGTTTTGTGTTAGTTGTTAAGAGGCCATAGCACTTCAAAAATTGTGTTTCTAGAGTGCAGTTTTCATTAGTACATCAGTGACCTGAAGGATATACTACAGGGCACTCTCATTGAGGTTGCTTATGATTTGGAATAAGGGAGATCGTTGGATATGTTTCAGCACAGAGCTGGCATTCAGACAACAGCAAGAAGCCAGGGGAATGGACTGACAGGCATCTCAAGAAATCCATCAAGGGCAAATACCAAGACCCATTTGGGGCAGAAAAGCCCCTTCCTACAGAACATGATGGGACTGTGTGGCAGGGGAGCAGCTCTGCTGAGAAAGGACAGGGACCTGGCAGAAGGCAAGCTGAGCATGAGCCAGCAGGGTTACCTAGAAGCTAAGAGCTGCAGATTGTACTGTGTTAAGAACAGCAAAGCCAGGAGACTGAGGGAAGCGATTGCCTCTATTTGGTATTCACTGTGCCTTGGTCATTGGTTGGAATTTTGAGTTCCTTCTACGTGAGAGGTTGATTATTCAGCAGTGAGCTAATTCTCTAGGGAGCCATCATATTTGTGAAGGAGTATTTGCCCTGTGAGAGGGGGCTGAGAAGGTGGGCTTACTCAGCCTGAAGAAGAGGCAGCTTTGGAGGGCCCTAACTGCAGCTTTCAATGCAGATGGGAAGACATAGCCAGGTCTTGACAGGAGGTGAAGATGGCAAGAGGTGTAAATGGAAGCAAAAAAGTTTCTAACTGGAGATGAAAAGTGTTGCTATGATAAGGATGGCAAAACAAAGAGGTTGGGCAGTGTCTCTTCTTGGAGGTGTTCAAGACTGGACTGAATAAAATCCTGACCTCAAAGCTGAGCTGGCTTTAAGAAAGTAGTTGGCTGAGAGACTTCCGGAGATCCCTTTTGATCTGACTTATCCTGTGGTCTTAGGTGTGAATTACTACCTTCAATGAACTGATGAAAACTTGGAGTGTAGTATAGCATGCCCTGGTAATGCTCCTTTTGTCTCATGTATATCATTTTTTTATTCACTGTAGAGAACTGCTGGTGATTCTTCTACCCAGGGATAACCTCCCTGTTGCTATGCTGAGCTCCTGAATATGCTTTTTGATTTTCTTTATGTTTTTCAGAATAATCCATAGCTAGGTAGAGCAGCAAATAAAATGTAGATATTGTAGCTATCTTTGATCTGTTTTTATTGTTTTATTTTTACGATTCAGTATAATTTGAAAAAGCGCTTGTTTTGTAAATGCTTTCCTTCATGCTGTTTTTATTGAATTGGCCACTCCAGCTTCCATACTATTATGAGCTGTTTTCCATATTAAATATTTGTATTGGTTAATTTTTAGTATGCAAAATCTAATTTCAACATGTCAATTTATATTTGAACAGCAATAGATGACTTTTCCCAAGGAGACTCAATAAGGTGAGTCTTTTAAAAATATCAACACTTACTTGAGGAATTATTTGAGAGAACCAGTATTTATTTTGCTTTGTTTTTGAAGAAGTTCTGAAAAAGAGGGCAGTAATGACAGTTGGCATACCTCTGAGGAAGAAGAACTGGATTTTACACCCAAGGTATGGTGCCTTTACAGGAAAATGGTTGGGTAAAATAAGTGATTTGAAGGTATTTTTCTCTGAGATAGAAAGAAGCTGCTTTTCCAGCCAATTCATTTTTTATTCTCCTAAAAAGGAGTCACTTGCCAGCCTTTCTTCTGCTGTGAGATTTTCCTAAAAACTTGTAGCTTTGGCAGAACATGCAGTAGATTTGTGGTTTGGGGCAAAGGAACAGTAGATGTTAAGATAAACATTATTAGTTTTAGTTGTTCTAATACTAAACATTAGTATTAGTTGGTTCACTCAGTGAAATTTGCAAATCCTAGGAGTTGATAAGTTAACAAATAACCTATTCTGTTCTCTTTCTAACTTTGCTATTGTTTCCCCTAATTTACATGATAGAATTCTAACTGATAATGAAAAAGAACATTTATTTATCAAAATCTAGTGAAATGGTTCATCGCCTGGTTTACTTTCCTTCCTCACTAGATTCCTTGAGTGCTCAATGCTTGAGTTGCTCAAATAAATATTTTTTCTTTCTTTTTTCTTCTTCTGTGAGATGGCATTCCATGCTTCTATATAATCTCACACTGCATGATTTTCTTCATTTTTTGAATACTTGGATTTTACTCTTTATAAGTTCCGTGTGCTTATCCTACTGTTTTTATGAATGTTCTGAAGGATTACCAATTTTTTCAGTGATGCTTGGAGTATTTAGTATGTTGCACTGGGATTCTGCAGTGATTAGGAACTTTAGTTTGATAGTTCAGCACACTTTGTAATGCTGGAGATGCAAGGATGTGTACTTTAAACACTGTTTCATTCTTTTGCATTGATTTAAGGGGAATTAATGCATATTTCTAGCATTATTTTGATATTTGCAAATCTTTCACTAGGTGGAGTTGTATTAACTAATTTAGGAACTTTAATAGGTATTTGAGTTGTGGACACTTACAAGTAAGCAGCCAGACTCTGCAATCCCAAGTGTAGTTGTATTTTACGTATGGATTAAAAAACATTTTTTTTTTTTTAGAATTGTTATGCATCTACAGATAGTTGTGAATAGTCACTGACTTGTATGCAAGAGGAGTGTTTGTGTAATTAAAATTGAAGGATTTAGCAAGCATCTAAGTCCTCTCAAAAGGGGACAGCCTGGTTGTATCTACTGTTAAGATTTGATGTAAGTAAGGGATTTGTTTAAAACCAAACAAAAATAGATCAAATAATTCTTTTTAAATGTATTTTTATTTACAGAAGCCACAGAAGCCAAACTTGACAATGTTAATGAATGTTTCCCAAAAGTTCAGGAATATAGGTAAGTTATTTGGAAAAGAATTCATGATACAGTGACACAAAAGTAAACTTGTTAAATAATCTCATTTGGGTTTTTTGTTGTTTTTTTTTTCACTTGGCTACAGTAATTGAGGAAAATAGTGTTATGAGAATAGAGCACATGGTCATTTCAGAGTAAAATAAGTCGGATAATAAAAATGAAGATATCGAGTCCCCTCCTAAACCTTTGTGTCTGATCTGTCCTTCCCCCATCCTGCCTTTACCTGGCTTTTCCATACAGTCCCAGATTATTCTTGTCCTGTGTTTTAAATGGGTAAAATACCTGTTGCTATTTATATAACCCATTTGATTCATATTCCTTTTCTCTTTTCTCATGCTTTAAGGTGGTGGTGATAGTTCTAGAATTGAAAGTCCTAAGTCACAGAAGAAAAGCCTTAAACAAAAAAAAACAACAGATGCAAACCTGAACAGAGGAGAATGTGGAGAGTTGTTGAAAGAAGATATCTCAGATTCAAGCAACCTTGAGGAAGATGAAATGGAGGAAGAGGAGGAAGATGAAAATGATGATGGAGATGACAATGAGGAGTATGAAGAAGAAGAGGAAGATCTTAGTCAAGATGAAAAGGAGGAAGAAGATCTGGAAGATGAAGAAACTCAATCTAATGACATAATGGAAGAGGAGCAGAGAGGTAAAATGGAACCTAAAGAAGAAGAAATTAATCAGAAATTGGGGTATCTGAGTAATGTTAAGAATGAAGGGGATGCACATTGTGGAGCTGGAAGTGTCTCCAGTGATTATCAGAAAATATGTAAAAAAATTGATGAAAAGATGGAGGAATCTGTTGATACTCCTGTGTCTTTTATAGATGGATGTTATGAAAGGTTGCAAGAGAATATAACAGCCATGTCTCCAAAGAGAATGAATAATGAAGTATCTTATGAGTCAGTACCAAAACAATCTGTCCTTCAAAATCTAAATAATTTGCAAAATAAACAAGAAAGCTGCAAGAAGAAGAGCATAATACAGAAGATGTTTCACAAAAATACAGCCTCCCCTTTTGCAGACTCTGAAATGACAGTCTTGAAAAGAGAGATACCCCAGCCTCTCTCAAATAGTAGTGATCTTCAGGAAGAGAAGTTAAGTTTCGGTGATGGCCTCAAAAGTAGTAGTAGTTCTTGGTCAGCAACGGGAAGCCTAAAGCTTGAAAATCAAAGACCAAGCTCTGTCACAGATGATGAAGATGCCGAAGAAGAGCAGTATAAAGAAGTAGATAATAAATTGCATGAAGCACAGAAACAAGAAAGTGAAAACCTGTGCCTAAATAGATGTGAGGAAAATCTAAGGACAACATTTTCCTCAAGTACAAAAGTAAGTGTGGAGGGATGATTCAATTGCAAGGGTTTATTAAGGGTAATATGGTAAGCAATAGTAAACTGTATTCTTGTTAATGCTTACCATGTATCCACATTTCTATCATCATATTTTGATACTAAAGATATCTTTCTTGTAGCCAAAGTCATTTATTACATTTAAAAGTAGTATCAGACATTATTTTCAATACTTTTAGTATGTGATTGCAGAGTTTTTGAAGGAGAAAGACAGGAAACTTAATTCTTTCTGGAATCTGTGGACTTTCTATTACATAAAACTGAGAGAATGGATAATATCTGTTAAAAGTTGCTGCCATTTAGTAGAATTCATGGGGTGATGACTGCAACTGAGGAAACAAAAGGAAGTTTTGAATGAAATTGAGGGCAGGAAGCTAGTGAAATTGTGAGCTAAGTAGACAGAAAGAAGGAGTGACTTCTGAATAATATAAATGAAACTGGAATTAGACTGCCACAAGGAAGTGCTTCTCAGGAGCTTTGCATAACCAGGGATGAAGTTTACAACATGAGGCATTGCTGTTTAATCATGCAGATTCCCACTGAAAAATTGAAGGCCTTTATAAACCTTGTTGCGCTTTGCTTCATTTTCTTACTCATGAGAAGTGTTTTCCAAGTTGTTCATGTGTGGCAAAGAATATACTGGTTTCTGTTCTTTCCAGCTGTTTTTGTCAATCTCCTTTAGGAAGAGTCGCCTAAATGGGAAGAAGAGGCAGAACAGGAGAAGGAAGATACTGGTGGGAAGCTGCGAACTACAGTTTCTGATGATGTGAAAAATTCTGTTTGTAGTAATAACCATCAAGTCCGTAATGAAGAAGACGCTGCTAATGAGAGAAGTGAGTTTAATTAAATATTGATTCTGATTGTTCCTCTATAAGTATTAATGCTCCATAAATGAAGTAAAATGATGATTACCCTTGAAGATGATGAACTTTTGTATTACCTGTGAACCCTAGCCTGCAGTGGAAGACAAGGTTTGCAGCTTTTGTTCCTTTTGTTCATTCTTAGAGATCACAAATTGTGGTGCTGGATTCCAAATGATTATGTGTGAAGCAAGTTCCTTTCTTAATTTTGTTGCTGTGTTCTCCTTGAAGTGGTCTGAACAAAACAAGTAGGTAGTCTAGTGTGTCTTGTGTGTGACAGTACTGTTTCCCTTTCTGGTGGGTACTATCAGATTGAAAAGCTGTGTTTTTCAAGAGCAGACTTGAGTCAAACTGTGAGAAAACTCTTCCAGTGCTTCACTTTGTTCGGTTTTAAAATGTGAAAGGTCTCTTCCATGCTACTCCTCTGTGTGCTTGAGAGAGAGTTGGGCACTTTAGTACTCACCTCAGGGTCTCAGAGCAGGGAAGATACTATTTTCTCTGTCTCCAGAGCATAGCTTGCTGCAGTAGATGTTTTCAGAGCATATGTAGCTGTTGGTCAGATGCTGCACAGAGAATCTGGCGGAAGCACTGAGGGTACATGCTCTTTTCTCCTTGCATATTTTCTCCTAAGCATGCATTTGGCAAACATAAATAGTCAGCACCCAGGCTGGAATTAACAGTTATGGTTTTTCAGAATGGGCACCATAACTACTGTTTCTGGCTCATTCCTGCACATTTTCTGTGTGAGTGAATCCTGAGTTTGTTTTACATAATGGAGTAGCTTAGATCAGAGAAATGAATGTGATCTGTTCTGGACAGGAGTTTGGTGGTGAGAAGAAACTAGACTGTTAAGTGATAAGATGGAAAATGCTTGCAGTTGTCTGGGTTAAGTGTTGGAACTGTGAGCTCCTATTCCATTTTTAAATGTCAGTCCTTAGGTATCTTCCTTCTCAGGAGGTGCAGGGTGATGAATCTTAGTCAGGGGAGATCTTGCTTGATAGCACCAAACAAGGAGTGATGTGTGTTAGCAGTTTCCTCTTAATGTGAGGGTATTTTGTGTCTTGCTTTTATGGTACGTCCTGTACAGTGGAAAGTGATAGTAAATGCCAGATGATGGAGATGTAGGCTAGAGGGAATGTAGCTCTGCATATACTGAAAATGAAGCATGCTGGACTTTCTTCCTGAACATTGTCCAAACATGAGGGACATAGCCATGTCAGCTGTCATTCTTAGGCATCTTTTGCTGAAAAAGAGATAAAGAGGAGTAAAGAGAATATTATGATGTGACTGGGTGTAAAGTTGCCCTTGAATGTAACTCATTTCTTGTTTTGTCCTCTGCTGTAGAACTGTTACTCATCTTTCAGATCCTGTGTTTGACTTATGGAGGATAAAAGTGGAGTGCAATAAATTCTCAGTGTCTCTCTTTGTCCATTCTTTGTAGGTGCCATGCCAGCAGTAGGGGCAGAGCAAGAGGAAGAGTCTGAATTTCCATGGGATTCTGAGGTACTTTCCGTGAAATGTGCATCTCCCCAGTCTGGGGGAGAGTCAGATGAAAACTACATGTGAGCTTGCCTTTGAATTGAGCCCTGCCCCTGATGAGGTTTATTTACTTCACGTTGCTGCTGCTCTATGTCAGTAGCTGGGGGTCCTTGAAGTACTTCTGGTGTAGGTTCTCTGTTCAGTTAGTACTGGGACAAAGTTAGTCAGGCTGCTTACATAGGCCTCCTGGCTGCTGGCTTTTGAGTTGGTTTTCTAGCACAGTATTCATACAGCACAGTTTAGTGCTGCTTAAAAACTTAGGAGCTTCTCAAGGTAGCTTGTGTGAGGATTAGTTTTCTTCCACTATATGGCTCTGTTCTGCTGATCCAGTTAGAGTTAAATGGGTTCCCCTAGGATGAGCAACATTTAGATTTTTCTGTATGGAACCTCTGTCTTCTGTAGATAGACTTAATCCATTTCTTATAATTGTGTTCAACACAGACACCAAGTGTGCTGGCTGTGTTTATCCATTCTGTCTGATAATTCACAAGATGAGAGTTAGCAGGGTCTGTAGCTAATTCCCCTCCAGCTTTAGCTGTGGGGGGAAAAAAAAAAACTCATCCCCGACCCCTTTCTTAAAAATACAGGATTTTCAAGATAGCCTTAATCTCATTTAGCTTTGCCTTGTTAGCCTTTTAGCCCTTAATCAAAGCAAATCATACCTTTTTTTTTTTTATTTTATTTTATTTTTGCATCGTAGTGATGCATTTACTTAGCACTGTGGGATATGTGCCCCAGGAACATAAGCTCAAATTGGAATGTCAGGCACAAATTTGATGCAAATGTTGGATCAACACAGAGCTGCAGCTACTTCTTCGCAATCAACATCTTGTTTTCCCATGTTAATTTCTTTTGGGGCTGTCTGGTTTGCCAGCCTTTATCAACATTACAGAATAGTTTAGATGAGTTGTGAGGAATTTTTTGCCCTTTTATTAGAGATACAAAAACCTTTTGATACATTTGATTAAAAAAAAAAAAAAAAAGTTTGTACCAGTTCTCATACATGTATTTTGGATTGTACAGATGGATTCTGAAAGTCCAAGGAAAGTATCACCTGATGTGTTGCTCCCAGCTGCAGATGAACACAGAGTATGCTTGCAGAGTATTTCAGGGGAGCTCAACAATGGTAACTTTCTCGTAGATTGGATTTGTCTCTGTTTATAGAAAAGTGAACTTTTCCTAGTGTTTTCCTTAGGAGCCCTGTTGTGCTGTGGTTATGTGCTATAGCAGTGAAGAAGTGCTTGGCTATTGTTAATTAACACCAGTTAACACTGCACTTGTTGGCCCATTTGATTACTCAAGGAAGTTCTTGTGTTTATTATATGTGTTTTTTGGACATGTATGTTGGTTTGGTTGTTTTTTTTTTGCTTTAACTTGTTGCTTAATGTGGTAAGAGTGGTATCTGGTTTAAGATTTACCTGTCTGAAGTTTCAGATCTTCCTGGATAATCAGCAGAAGAAAAATATCATCTGGTTAAGCTTTTTTTTTCTTTTTTTTTTCCCTAGCTTTATTCTTTATAGGTTTCTGTTGTGCTTTGAGTAGGAACTAGAATGTGAGGACAAATTTAGGTTTTGTTGCTGAGGGTTTCTGCCTGCAGGTTCTGTCATTTGCCTTGTGACCATCCTGATTGAGCATGGGAGAGCAGGGGATTTTTGCTATTGGAATAAAGCTTTTGTCTTTTTAAAAATGATTTGGCAGTCCAGCTTATAATATGGGTATAATGACATAGTCAAAAAGGCTAATCCAATTTCAGTTTAGTAAGACGGAACCAGATCTTTGCAAGCTTCTGGGAGCTATAAATCAACTCAGTCTGCTTCATATGATTCTGTTAAGTTTGAAATCAATATGGAAAGGGGGAAGAGCTGATTGTGGTAATCTTTCTAAGGTATTTCCATGTTACTTTAGTACACTGTGTGTACTAAAATCAAATCTTGATGGTTTTTTATTAATATTTTTTTAATGTGAAAATTCTTCTGTGGAACCATTCCTAGAAGCATTTTCTATACTTGTTTCATCAGAGGACTCATAAACTATAAGATGACTGCAGCACAGGATTCAAGAAATACATGGGCAGTAGGTTGTGTGAGTTTGGAAATAAAATTGGACACAAAACTTCAAAAATATTTGGAATAATGCACATGTTGTGCACTACAACCAAACAACATTTGTATCATTTATTTCCCTGCAAGCTAAACCAGAGTGATCAGTTGAGAACCAGCTTGGTTTTACCTCACTGAATGACATTTGTATGAGATTTTTGTGTCTGTACCCTTGCTCTCCATAAGCTGTTAATGAGAAAGCAGCCTCAACATTGAGCACTGGTGGGATAGAAGTAGTCATAGTGCTGCTGCATTCTTTTATGATTGTTCATAGAGCTATCTGCTCCAATTAATCCTTTTAGAAAGCAGAATTCAGCTTCCAAAAAGAATAAAATATTTTAACCTTGTTCTGTTAACAGACACGACTTAATGCTTCACAGGCATTGTTGTCATTCTGTGGTTTAACATTTTTAATAAAAGGTGCATGATGGGAATTACTCTGCATTTCTTGCATACTACTGTAAATTGTGTGTGATAAGATAATTGAATATTAGCTATTGCACTCAATGAAGTAATGTGTGCAACCAACAATTGCAGAACCTACTGATGTTGTACAGAGTAAAAGATATCTTCAATTAAATAAAATAGCATTTTCATTTTCACCTCCAGGCTTTTCAGAGAAATCCAGTGATCTGCAGGTAAATGATTTTCATTTCAGTCTACATGTCCTGCTCGTTAAAGAACATGTAGTTACTTTGAATTTATGGGTTTTTTGTTCATTGGATTGTCTTTCATAGTTGAAGGTTTCTGCAGTTTTAGAGATGAATGAAACATCTTCAAAAAAAGAAAGGCAGAAATCAGGTAATGATGACTTTGATATTCCGAGTTTAACTTCAGAATCTTTCTGGATAAGCATATTTAATTAAGCATTTGATTTATTTGTTTTGCAGATCTACAGGAGGAATTGAATTTAGGAGATGTAGATGATATTGAAGGTATTTATAAAAGGGTTTTTTTTTGTTGTGTTCCTTTGTGGGCAGACGGATTGTACTTGTAAATTCTTACTATTAAATTAATTTTTGCTAGCAAGATGTTATTTCAGCATAAAATTTAATGAAATATGCCTCCATCTGTGAGTGTTTTCTCCTCTAGTTCTCCATTCAGTGCTTGTAAAAACCTTTCTACAGCGTAAGCTTCTTCCAGCACACCTGCTATCTTCACCCCTTGTCAGGCAGTCCTCAAATTTACTTTCCTTTCTGTTTCTGAATATACCAGTTTCTAGAGGAGCAATAGGAAGTATGTCCTATGTCTGGTTCCAGGCTAGGGATCTGCAAACTAAGCTGTCCAGGAGCTGCAGGTGGGACAGAAACAAGGATGCAAGTGAAGCAGCTAGATCATATGCTATATGTATGGGAGAGACGATATATAACCTTAATGGATTTTTAGCTTCTTCATTCCGATGTGTATGAATTTAAGTGTTTGTTAGCAAGATGTGAAACAGTTCCCTATGCAGGTCTTAGAATTTTTACAATGAGCCCCTGAAAATATAAATCAGGTGAAAACCTGTATAAACAAGTATATGAAGTAGATGATTAGAAAGAGTTCAGAAAACTATTACAACTTCTAAGTATGGAATGGAAATTGTTCCAAGCTGTTTGGCATCCTTGTCTTAGGAAAATAGGTGCTGTTTCTTTTGTCAACAATAGAGGTTAAACTTGCCTCCTGAAAAACACTGTGTGTGTATTTGCAACGCATAAAGAAAAGGAGGTTCTTTTCTGCAGTGATAGTGTTTCTGTAAGATGCAGTAAGGACTGTTAGAATCACAGAATTGTAGAATTGGACTGGAAAGGACCTTTAAAGATCACCTAGTTCCAACCTCCATGCTGTGGGTAACCTGTTCCAGTGCCTCGCCACTCTCATCAAGAATTTATTCCTTATGTCTAATCTAAACTAGTTTAGATTAAATTAGTTTAAAACTGTTACTCTTTGCTGTATCATTGCAGGCCATAGTAAAAAGTCTTTCTTCGTCTTTCTTATAAGCTCTCATTAATTATTGAAAGGCCATAATATGGCCTTTGCAAAGTCTTTTATTCTCCAACTCTGTTGGCTTTTCTTCATAGGAAAAGTATTCCAGTCCTCAAATTATTTTTTGTGACTGACCCTCCTCTAGACCTGCTCTAATTGGGATTTTTGTGCTGGGGGCCCCAGAGCTGAACTTAGTACTCCTGGTAGGGTTTTGAAAGAGTGGAGTAGGAGGGGGACAGTCATCTGCCTTGGCCTGCTGGCCATGCAGTGCCTCTTCTTTTGTGGCCCGGAGTGCAATTGGCTTTCTGGACTGCAAGCATGCATTGCCAGCTTATATCTAAGTTTTCATCCAGCATTATCCTCAAGTCCTTTTCCACAGGACTGCTCTCAGTCTGTTCATTGCCCAGTCTCTGCTGATGCTGGTGATTGCCCAATGCAGGTTCAGGACCTTGCACTTTGCCTTGTTGAACGTCGTGAGGCCTGCTTCTCTAGGCTGTCATTGTCCTTCTGGATGTCATCTCTTTTCACTAACATATCAGCTACACCACTTGGCACCACTTCCACATTCATCATATTTCCCCAATTTAGAGAGACAAGTATGTTGTTTGAGCCCATGTAAAAGGTCTTAAATCAAGGTAGCTAACATCAGTTGCTATTTCTTTGTCTGCCACTGCAGTTAGTCCATAATAGAAGGTTGGTTGGATCCTGGGAAATATCTCCTTTTTTGCCCTTTTTAAAAACAAGTGTGATGTTTCCCTTTTTCCAGTCACTGAAGGTTTCACCTGACTGCCTCACTCTTTAAATATGGTGGATAGTGACTTGGCAACCTCGTTTATCCATGATCTTGGAGGTCTTTTCCAACCTTTCTAATTCTATGATTCTGTGAGATTTAGTTTTTGTCTGTTTTATGTAGTAATATATTGTGAAATGTAGTCCAGTAATGGTCCAGGGTGTTATAAGATTGTAAAGTTTGGTAGGAAAATCAGTCTTTTCATAGCTCATATTATGTCAGCATAGCATTTCATGTATTTTCTGTTCATCCTTCCTTGTCTCTCTTTTTTTTTTTTTTTTTCCCTCTTTCTATGTGTTATCTTGAAGATCAGGTATTAAGAAGTGTATGTGAAAGTTTCTCAGACTTCCATATTTGGTTTAGATTTCAGCAAGCTGTATTTCTTCAGAGCATTGTGATTCCTGTGGTACATGTATTTCTAACTCTAAAAGGGTTAAATGAGACTCTTCTTCACAAAGATTAGGAGCAGTGAAAATAGCTAGAGGAATCTAGCCAGTTACTGTGTAGCATACAGTATGTCATGTATATATAAATATATTTCTGCATATACAAAAATCATTTGAGATTCTTAAAGGTGTATTTGTGACCACTTGTACTGATTTTTGTCAAACTTCCCTTCCACATGAAAGGAAAAATGCCCTGAGAGAGGGCAGTTCACACAGATGCATCTTCAAACTGTGTTATAATATTATCTTCAAATCATAAATCATACGCTTGAGAGATTGTGTTAGTTTGTTTTATTTTCTCATAAATGCAATGATTCAGGATGTACTGTAGGTATAAATAAGTTGTAATAAGTCATGTTCATTATAAAGAAGTAATTTCTTCACTGTAGGTGAGTGCTCAGAACCTATCTTTCATGCATCATCAGCTGAAAAAGAGAGGGTTAAAGATGCCATTGAAAACTGTGGGCGGCAGGTATGTGAAACCAAATATTATGAGTTATAGTCTGAATTGTAAACTGCATTATATGTTATGGTAAAAGAAAGCTTACCAGTCAATAAATGGTTCAAAAAAAAGAGTCTTGGACCTTAAGTCTGTATTATCTGAAGTTAGATACTATCTTCTTTTGTTTGTGTAAAATGCTTGCCGTTGTGATGGATACTTGACATTGTTCTGCTATGTTTCCAGCTGGTTTGCTTAAACATTGACCACTGCTTTTCTCTATGTGCAATGCAGAGAAACAGTGTGGTGGGTTTTTTTTTTTCCTATACAAAATATATATTCAAATGAAAGCAAGATTTTTCTGTCCGGATTTTCTACCTGGATTTTCCTCTTTGTAAGAGAAAGATTAAGCAAAAACCTGAAATATGATGATCTGTCAATGCATTCTGTGCCTCTGCAAAATATATCCTTGTCTGATCAAGGTAATAAGTGTTTGAAAGTTTTTTTTTATTTTTGGAGGCCATTGTAGAGGAATATAAACCAGGCATGCTGTTTGTATTGAACATACAGGACTGGGGAGGGGTCTCCAGTGAGTGTCTGGAGTCTTCTGTAATATCTCAAGGGACAGTGGAGGACGTAATATCCATCATACATCCAAGGCACCATGGAAGAGGGATGTGATTGATTTCAGCAGGTAGAGAACAGGACTTAAGTGTTGGAAGGTGATAGCAGATGTGCAAAGTGAATGGAGCTTGGGAATGAAGTGGCTGAGACAGGTGGTGACTGAGATAATCCTCTGCACTGTGAAAGGTTTTTGTGGAGTTAAGATGTGGAAGGAGAAAAGGGCCTGTATAACCAGAATAAGATCAATGGTCATGGTCCCTTGGGACACCAAGGCAGCAGGCCTTATTCAGAAGGGAACACAAACCAAGGATAATGTTGCAGGGACTGTGACACATGGTACAAGCAGTCAGCACCATTGAGGAACAGAGCATGGAGCCAGAGATATGAGGAGGCTGAAGAGAGGAGCTGGTCAGTGGGTTTGAGGCATGGTACAGTTTTGATAGATGTCTTGGTTCTTGATTTTGGGTTGAGGGCAGGTAAATATCCTGTATTCCTAGTAATAAAATATTTGTCTTAGGAGCTTGGAATGGAATTTAATAATTTTGTCTCTGGGGAGCACAAATGATTGTAATGCCAATCCCTTGTGGTGGATAGTAAAAAGCTTATTATGATCACTCACATGTGTTAACTCAGCTAGCAGGGGATTGTAAAGTGCCAGTCAGTAGAAAGTGAATGGGATGGGAAAATTTGTGTTTTATGTTGTTGATTGTTTTGTTGGTTTCGTTTGTTTTGTTTTGTTTTGTTTTTAAATATTAAAACTGCATAGTGACACGTTTTAGCCTGCCTGGTCCCTGTAATTGGCTAAAGCAATCCTCTTGTTCAGAGAAATCTAATAGAAGAAAAACTATTGTTTCTAAACTAGATCCTACTATTTTGAGGAAAAAATAAATAAGGTGGTACTTTTGTTTTTTTTGTTGTATAATAGGATGAGTTTGCAATGTAAATTACATGGGTTAACCGTAATTTCCTTTTTCTTGGTAATTTTTCTGTCTGTACCTGCTTACTTAAGGATAAATATGTTTTAGAAACTACCAACTTGATAGAAAACCCAGCATATGGAAAGCAGACTGACAAAGCAGAAATTTCTCATCAGGAAGCTCTAGCAGAAAATGAGGAATCCCACAAGCAGTTAAGTCTAAAGCCGTGGGAAGAAAGATATGAAAGAATGTGGGTTGAAAAAGAGAAAAAGGAATTGAAAACAAATTTTAAAAACATTACAGCAGAGCTGAAGCAGCTGTTTGGTGAAATTAATGAATTTGAGGAAACTACATCCCTTGTGGCAGAAGTGTCAGAAGATGACTTCAGTGAAGAATTGAAGAGTTTTCGTGTTTCAACTTGTGTGACAGAATCAAATAATAAGTTAGAAAGTAAAGGTGAACTTAACGTAGACCTAAAAGAACCCAAAGTGGAAATTGTAGTTCAGAGTCTCGGCGTCCTTCCTGATCACAATAACTTAAATGCAAACGTGGAAAATACCTGGAGTACAGATGAAGAAGACTACACTAATTACACAGATAATACGAAAGTACTTCTAGCAAGAGGAGAGGAAATGGAAGAAAATGAGAATGGGATTAGTAGGAATGTAGAGAGAAGTCCTGAATATTCCCTGAGACATTGTTTAAAAACAAATGTTTTGGATGACATTTCTAATATTCTTCCTAAAATTAGACCTATTTCCACAAATGATGAAAGTACACTTGGTTTTATGGGAGAGAAGAAATTTGGCAAGGATGTCTGTCTTAGTGACAGTGTTTCCAGAGACTGCCTTATCAAAAACAAGGAAATAGGAGAAACAGAAATTGAAAATCTTTTTCCACATGATCAGCAACCTTGTGGCATGCTGAAAAGGAATCTGGATGAAGAACTAGAACAAGATGTGGAAAGATTTAAGAGTAAGGTAGGAATGCTGCAAATGGTATTCCTGGCTTTGGAGGAAGAGAAGGTACAGCTACAAAAAGAGGTAGAAGTTCACCTGCTGCTCCTTATTCCTTAGTCTTTCTCCACATCAATGGTCCTGTTCATGTTAGCTATTGATCATTAAAAGAAGGTGCTTTGTGCAAATTGTTTTGTTTTGTTTTGTTTTGTTATAAGTGAAGTACATTACTCATAAATAAGGAGAGCAGTGGTGAATTGTACTTTTCCCCATAATGTAATCAGAAGGTTTTGAGAAATCAAAATGTATTGACTCAGTTTAACAATAGGTGGCAGTCAGTTCCAGTGTAAGTAGTTATCACCACGTTGCCATAAAAACAAATACATACAAGTATACCAGTTTTGATTCTCAATCAAGGAATGAAAATAGCTTCTGAACAGGGTCTTGACTAATCTCTTCATTTGGTGTGGCTTGTGCATGGTGTGCCTTCACTGCCTTTCACTAAAATTCCTGATTGCTGTGAAACTTTCTGCTTGTGAGTTTGGGTTTTTTTTTCCTCATCATTAAGGAAGTACTCCATCATACATCCACTCATATTTTGTATTTCTACAACTAATGTTGTGTAGTCTGTCTAATTTCTTATCCACCAGTAATGCCCTTATTGTTTCTTTCCTAAGGGCTGGGTTTTTTTTTTTTTTTGTTATACTTCAAATCATGACTGAATTCAGTGTATTTTCATTGACTTGGTACATTTTGCAGAGTAATTGTTGTGAAAATTCTTTTGTATTTTACATTATTTTAGAAGTCAAGCTTAGATTATTTGGTCTTAGGTCTCCTTTAGAAACAGAAAAATATACGAAGCTTAATTTTCTCTTCATAGGTTGAGAAGGAAAAAGAGAAGCAGAAACATTTCAAAATGCAAGCAGTGGAGAAAGAGGAAGATCATGATAAATTAAACACACCGTCAGGCAGTATTACCAATCAACCAGTAAAAGAAAAGCTTGCTCTAAGGAAGAATGAAAAAAAACCTGAGAATGAAAAAATGATAGAAGAAAAATGCACAAAGAACTTTTCATCTGAGGAGAGACCAAAATTAATTGGAATGCCAACGAAAGGGTAAACTAATAAAACAATCTGTAATTTTTATTTGTAATATTTAGGGGTTTTAGCTTTAGGGCTTTTTAATCTTGTATTTGAAGCACTCTCCTCAGTGTTGAAAGCTATGCTGAGTAGTCCCCTGCTTCTCAAACTTTTTAAAAAATATATTTTTCCGAATACTAAGTGCACATTGGAGGTTCAGGTTTATTTCATTGGAGGAGATAGAGGTCTTAATCGTAGAATCATAGAATGTCCTGGGTTGAAAAGGACCACAATGATCATCTAGTTTCAACCCTCCTGATATATGCAGGATCACCAACCACCAGGCCTGGCTGCCCAGAGAATTTCTTCCTCCATACTGACACTAGTCGTGTCTTCAGAGTCTTAGCTGGAGATTGTGAAAATGTTATTTTCTTAATAAATAGCCCCCCAGAACAGAAATGCAGGAACTTAGTGTACTTTCTCTCTTTTCTAGGAGATATTAGTGTTCATCATGGAATTGTTTTCATTAAACTCAGACTCTCTTTGTCAAGAAAAAGGGAACGATAATACCAAACAGTTCTAAGAAGTTTGAAGAAGACAGAGATGCTTTTACATTACCCTAGGCAGGAATTTTTATCTGCACCTTCTTCAGGAAAATCTATGCTCTAAGTACATCCTCTGATGGGGACAGAGAGGTGTTCCAGCTTACTTGAGTATCTTCCAAGATCTTGGAAATCAAGCCTCTGTTTTAACAGACATCTTTAGTCTTGTTTTTTTTTTCCTAGAGTAAGTGTTTTTAATTTTATATAATGTACTCAATTGGTGACTTTTTTCTTTCTGTTCAATATAGTAAATCTGTTCTGAATGCAAAAGGTATGAAGAAAAATGAGAATAAAAGGCAGTCTTCAAAGCAGAAGGTTAATCAGAAGATTCAAGTAATGGATGATAGCACTTGCAGTGAAACATCTCAAGCTGAAGAAAGGTACCGAATACAATGAATATGATAAATATATTTAATGTTTACAAAAATTGGCCTGAAAACTAAAGGTAAGTGTTACAGACTGAGTGCTTAAATGATTTTCCCCTACCAGAAAAAGACTTGGGGGGTGTGCAGGTGGATGGCAAGCTGGAGATGAGCCAGCAGTGTGCCCTCACAGCCCAGAAAGCCAACCATATCCTGGGCTGCATCAAAAGAAGCATGGCCAGCAGATCAAGGGAGGTGATCCTGCCCCTCTACTCTGCACTGGTGAGACCTCACCGAGTGTACTGCATCCAGATGTGGAGTCCTCAGTACAGAAGAGATGTGGATCTGTTACAGAGCATCCAGAGGAGGGCCATAAAAATGATCCAAGGAATGGACAGGCTGAGAGAGCTGGGACTCTTCAGCCTGGAGAAGGCTCTGGGGAGACCTGAGAGTGGTCTTTTTGGAGGTCCTTTTTAACTTTGGCTGTTGTATAATTACTAATATCATACAGAAAAAATAGCCTTCCAGTACACATATGGTGTTTTTGTTGTTTTTTTCTGCCTCCAACTACATGACTATGTATAACAAAGTCATTGTATCAAACTGCAGTTTAATTCACTTCTGAAACTAAGTTTTCAGAGCAATTTCAGTTATTGTTCATAATGTTGTATAAGCATTCCAGTACTGAAATGTATTTCTGTTTTCCAGACCTGCAACAAAAACAGGGAGCGAAAAGAGCAAGGTACTGTAAAATTTTTTTTATCTGCTTTTAATCACTTAAACGGTAATGGCTTTTACATCATGTTCAATCAGATGCAAAGATTTTTGCTAGTATGCAGCTTTGTACTATTTGAGTTAAATCAATAGGCTGCGAGTGAGAGAATGAATTGTTCCTGCATTTATAATGATCTGTAATAATATAGTTTTGTATACGTTAACACACTGTATTGTCTGTAGGTCAGCATGCAAATGGATGTTACTGATGACCTTGATTTAACACAGTCGTCTGATACAACTTCAGAGGATGCTGAGTTGCCAACTTCAACTTACAAAGAAGCTATGTTGCTCTTAGAACAGCTTAGCGTGGATCATACAGGTAAGTTTCTAAATCACTTTGTCTTCTGTTACAAGTTCCTCTTTTAAAACTCTTGTTTCGTTGTGTATCTTCACAGTTCCTCAGTTTTCTATTTAGGTCTAATATTTATGATCAAAAATGACTCTTGCCTATACCCTACTCCCCAAAAAGTACAGACTCCTGCACTGAATGCAGAATTCATCTCACCTAACCTCCATCTGTGTCCATCTGTGTTGTCAACAAACACGCCTTACCTACCAGCTGTCTCTAGTCGGAATTGGAAGAGCAGGTTCTTGTAAGGTACAGACCAGTTCATTCAAATGTAGTGATCAGAAGTTAATAAGACAGTCTTTTTTTTTTTTTTTCCTGTTTATTCCCTTTAATAAGTAATGCTCCAAAAAATAATGGTTTTGATTAAAAAAAAAAAAAATCTATAATGTTGTAATATGCTTGCATGTATACACATAGCTTGATATAAATGTAAGCAGCACTAATTTTCTTAATCTTTGCTAAAATTTCATTAGGCAAATATGGATTAACTGTGGCTAAAGACCTTATTCCCACCCACCTGCACTCTCACTTCCACTCTTCAACAGGACAGGAGGTGAAAATAACAAATGAAAAAGCTCAAGAAATTAGATAAAGACAAAGCCGTCACTAATTTTTGTCATGGGCAAAATGGGCTCCACTCAGTGAAAATTAATTTCATTGCTTGCTAATTAAATTGGGGAGTGAGAAAGATAAAATAAGTAAATAAAACACCTTCCACCCACCACTTTCTCACACTTAATTTTGCTTCTTCACTGCCACTTTCTGAGCAGTGCAAGGAGGATGGTGGCTTTCCAGTCAATACATGATAGTTCCTCTCTGCCTCTTGTACCTCTTCACACATTTTCCATGCTCTAGCATAGGTCCTTTTACAGGCTAAGATCCTTTAGGAATTATCCACCTATTCTACAGTGGAGTCTTCCATGGGTTGCAGTGTGGGTGTCTGCTCCAGTGGGGCCCTTTCCAAGGGCTGCAGATAAATACCTGCTCCATTGCAGTGCTCTCCACAGGCTGTTTGGGAATCTGCACCCTCACCTGGAGTGCTTCATCCTTCCTCTCCCTCCTTCATCTTACATTTATGTTTCCACTGTTATTTACACCTTTTTTTCCTCCTCCTCTGCCTACATGGTGGTTTGGCCCTTTCCAAAATATGCTTTCTTGGAGGTGATAGACTGAGTTGTGTCATGTAGTGGGTCTACATGTTGGACTCATCTGCATTTGGCACAGTCTTTTTCATCTTTCTTATGGAGACTTCCTCATGCCTAAAACCTTGCGACTTATACCCAATTCAGCAAAGAATTAAATAGATTGTAAACTGGAAAGTTTTTATGCATATGTGCAGTTGTTTTTTTTTTTCTCCATATAGATTCTGCTGTTTTGCTGAAAATTCAAAATATACTTCTTGAATATGAACAGAGGATAGATCATGAAAAAAATCGCTATGCAGCTCTCTGGAGAGAAGTCAGGAAGTTGGAAAGTGAAAAAGAGGAGTCACAGTTAATAGTAGAAGAGACTGAAGATTTGAAATCCATATTGTCTCACCAAGAAATGGAATTGAAAAGTGATATCCAAAGCCTTAAGTATGCAATCCTGCATTTTGATTGTGTATGTTATCCTGGTCACGTTTTAGAAGGTGCTGGTAGTCCAGCCATCAACAGCATGCTAAGTCCCACCACTAAGCCATGTCCCTTAGTGCTACATCTATGCATCTCTTAAGTACTTTTAGGGAGTGGGACTTAAAAGCATCTTAGGAGTTGTATTTCACAGGTTTTGTTTTTGTTCTGTTTTTATATAAAACCAGGAATCATGGCAACTCCACAGACCACAAATTGAAACAGTTTACTGGGTGTGTTTGAAGGTCAAATTTGAGATTGTTTCCTTGACCTCCTACTCCTGAGCTAGATGCAGGTGGTCTTTAGTCACTGTTTACAACATTTTCAGAGGAGTGGCAAGCAGGCATTATATCAAATTCATTAAGAACAAATTCAAAGCCCTTGTGAGGATACAGTGAAATGCTCTTGCTGGTGAGCTGCTTTGCTGAGAAGCCTCTTGGGGCCTTGGCAGAGATTAAGAGCAACGTGAGCCAGAATGATCTTGCAGCTGAGAAGGCCAACAGCATCCTGGGTTGCATTAAGAAGAGCAGAGAGTCAGGAAGCTGAAGGGAGGGATCCATCCCTATTTAGCTCTTGTTAGTCTGTGTCTAGAGCACTCGGCCCAACTTTTGGCCTCCCTGTACAGGAGATCATAGTGAACATGTGTGAGTTCAGCAGAGGCCTTCCAGGCTGATCACAGAGCATGGAGCACTTTCTCTGTGAGAAGAAGCTGAGAGAAGTGGACTTCAAGGAAATATGCCAGCAGTCTCACAGTACATGGAAGGGGATTGTGAGTAAGACAAAGCCATTCCTAATTTGGCCTGGATTTGGTTCTAAACATCTTTCAAAATTCCCAAACATCTATAAATACAAGGAATTATTTTTTCCTTTCTATATAAAATCTGAAAACAGTGTTAGCTAATTACCTATATGTTTATAAAACATATAGCTTTTCGGGAAACTAAAGTAATAATTATATGTAAAGCTTTCTCCTTGAGTGTAAGCTACTTAAATACTGATGTTACAGCCAGTCTTTTGAGCTATTTGTTAGTAGTTGCTGATACTCATTTTCCAGAATTAACAAAGCACATTTTTTGGGGTATCTGTTTCTTTACGTTTATAGTTACTTTCTTATTTGTTGACAAAAATATTGGAAAAATATTCAAAATAAGAAGCAAATACAAAAATGCTCTCTTGTTTACTTACTATGGATACACAATGGACAGTTTTAACCGTACCAGTGCTTATTGCAGGTTATTTCAGTTATTAAAAAAAGAAAAAAAAAAGCCTAACATTCTCCAAGGCGTTTTTATCAGATGAAAAATCAAGTTGCTATTGTTTCTCTCACATGTAAATCCAGTGAGTTTTACAACTGTAACTCTGCTTTTTAATCATATTAAGCTTAACATTTCTAAATCCTTTTTGGAAAACTATCTTTATCCTTTAATTTATTAAAAAAAAAAAAAAAAAAAAGTTACTTCATACATGATAAGCAGTTGTTATAGTCCTAGAAAAGGCTTCTTAAAATGTTTTGGATTTGTCTTAGATAAGTGATGTGCTGTTTTGTTAGTATTACTTGCAGTCACTATGAATCCACAGTATGTAGATGATGTTCAGCATATTAAAAACAGTATATTTTTAATACTAAAAGTTTATGATATTTTGATCTGGTAAGACTGTGAACTAATTTTGAATGAAGTGTGCACCTGTAACATGAAGTTTGGGGGTTTTTTTCGGAATTATAGATGTGTGCATTATTCTTCATGTTTACCTATGTAAATTTGAAAATACATGATGAATTTTGTACATCACTTAATGGCTTATTTGTCAGTCTTATGCAGCTCATGTACGAGATGTCTTCCACCACTAACAGAATGAAATTAGAGTTATTTTAAAGGTTTAAAATTGCAGCAAAACTTCTGTATTTGAGAAGATGTGACATTGTTATGGTTTAAGTTGTTTCTGCAAGTTCATGGTGTGGCATATTTACTTTTTTGTGAGTACTTTAATTCCTCAAATATTCTCTTTTAAAACCCAGATTTTCTTTGAAACAAGAAGAGGAAAAGAGGCTTAAAGCTGAAATGCAATATGAAAAAATAAGAGAACAACTAAGGAGGAAAGAGGATCAATATTGTAGAGAAGCAGACGAGAAACAACAACTTGAGTTGTGTGCAAGGAATTTAGAAATGGAGTTAATAACACTGAGAAAGCTCATGAAACAGGTATATTAAACCTGTTATCTTCTGTTTTTCTGCTTCTTTCTAATTGATATTTTATGCTAGTATGTTCAAGAAAACCTTGTTTGTGAATGAGGCATTATATAATCATCTTGGTACATTTTGAGGACCATTGTCCTCAAACCAATATGATCAAACAAGTTCATGGTTCCTTTTCTCATTTTTCAGAATTATAGTTTGGTTTGTATTTCACACAAAGCCTCACTTTGAGTTGTCTTTCCTAATTACTACAAAACTGTGCATGTGTTTGTGTGTGGTTGTTTGTTGTCTTTTTTTTTTCAGAAGGAAATTAGAGTTAGTTTGTAGCACTCTTTCAAGTATATTTACATGGATTTAAATTTAGGCCTAAATGTTACTGTTTGCTTGATAATCTGTAAATTGCCTCAATTGCGTACAGTCAGGACCAAATCCAGAAAAACTCTCAACTTTACTTTTATTACAAGTTTAATGTCTTATTTAATGTGATTGAGATGATAATGTTTTCACTGTACATAATCTGCATAATTCTTCATAGTTCTTACATACAGTTTTGAGGATCTTTCCACTGGCCTTGACATATTTTTCAGCATTCCTGTCATGCAGTTTCAAATATACCTCAAAAATTCAGTCTGTTCTGTTGTATTTTTAAGCCTCAACTTTGCAAAACTTACATTTGCAAACATATTAAGAACACATGAAAGTGATCATTAGGGATCTTCAGTGGCTACATTGTTCTGGCAGGAGCAGAAAGTAGTTAGCATCACCTCTTTCAGTCTGCCTGAATTTAATGAGGGCATGATTGGCATTAGTTTACCTCCTGGTCTGTTTGTTCCACTGGTCAGTCCTCTTCTGTGTCTCACTTCGTTAATAGTCTTTGGAAATCTTGTGCAACTCAATTTGTATAGCAGTATTGCTGGATTTTGGTAAACTGTAAATATATTGGCATATGTTCTGAAGCATTTCTAAATATTAGTAGAAGAGATGTAGACTTAGGACCTTGCAGTGGGGTATAGTCAATGTAATCATTGTGCTTTTGGAAATGTTACTCTTTTGATGTATGCAGTTCTTAATGTTAATGCTAATATTGATGAATAGATGTTTTCAGATCTTTGACTGCAAGCATATGAGTGTTCATCTCTGTTTTTAGTGTGTATATATAGTATGTTAGAAAGAGAATTTGGCTTTCTGCTTAAACTCTGTACATTTCCAAGAAGAGTAGTTTTGGGTTTTTTTTTATTTGTTATAGAGGGAGATTCATTTCATTAAGTATAAAACTTCTATAATGCTGATTTGTGCAACAGACACACACTATCCTTATAACTTTCAATTCAGATAAACCTAAACACGTTTGTTTGCAAATATGGAAAATTGTTACGCATTATATGATTTTATGATAAACAGCTCTTACTAGAATTATTAGAAAATAGGGACGCAAAGAAGAACGAAATAGGAAGGTATTGCTAATTTTAATTTGCTCAAGATTCACAAGTTGAATTATATTACTGTAGATTGAAGAAGAGCGTGATGAAACACAGAGACAGCTCTCTCAGGAAAAGAGTGCTAGAGCTCTACAAGAAGGAATTTTGAACAGCCACCTGTGGAGACAGAAGGAACTGGAAGAAGAGACAAGAAAAACTATGGGAAAAAATTCAGAGGTAAGCAGTTCCATTTCTAATTAATTTGGTTATATTTCTCTGTGCTCATTCTAACATCTTAAGAAAAATAACATTTTGTGCATTTTGGTGGATTATCTACAATTCATCAATATAACCCAGTTTTGTTACTGCTGTCTTTAAAAATTCTGGATAGCAGCATCAATCCCACATATACCTGAATTGCATGTGGAATTAGGAAACCACTGGAAAACAAGACATAAGTGTTCCCACTTTCTTAAGCTATTTGCTGTTCTTCACTGTATAGTCGTTATAATCATTTTTAAGGTTTCTATCAGTGAAACATCCAGAAAACTCGAGACTTACAAGGACAGAAATCATCTGAGGCTGTTTGTGATCCTATTACTTGGCTTTTGAATTGGTTATTGTACTATCATCACTTTCTTGTTTCCGTTTTTTTCATCTTTTGGTTTAATAAATTATTTTTATCTCAACCCATGAGTTCTATTTTGTTTTCAGTTCTCTCCTTCATCCCACTTAGTGGTTGGGAGTGTGGTGCCTAGCTGCCTGCCAGGTTAAACCAGAATTTATTTCCCAACTGACTATTCATTCATGTCCTTCATCACACAGGAATCTGACACTAATGACAGAGAAAAGGATCTGCTGCACAAAAATCAATTACTACAAGAAGAGATTGCTATGCTAAGACTTGAACTTGATCAAGTAAAACTTAGGCACCAGGAGGATGAAGGAAAATATTTAGAGGAAAATGAATCTTTGAAAGAAAAAAATGATGATCTTCAGAAGGAACTTAAGCTGAATGAGGAAGCCTTAACACAAACAGTATTTCAGTACAATGGGCAGCTGAATTTACTCAAGACAGAATCTGCAATGCTAACTTCCAAGCTTGAACAGACAAAAGAAAGCAAAGACAGACTGGAAACAGAGATTGAATCATTCCGTTCCCGCTTGAATGCGGCTGTTCAAGATCTTGAACGTCATCAGTCATTGAAAAGTGACGTTGAACGAACATTTCAGAGAGAACGTGATGAATGGCTTCGTGTACAAGATAAGCTCCATCATGAGCTCTCTGATGCGCAGGAGACCAACAAGAGCTTGTCTCAGCAGCTGAGTAAAATGGAAAGCAAAGCTAATCGTCTAGAAAATGAGCTTCACCAGTCGAAACAAACACTTCGAGAAAAAACACTGCTTTTAGAAATGATGCAAAAAGACTTAAATCAAGCCCAGTGTCAGGCCAAAGCAAGTGATCACGCACGGCAACTTGAGAAAGATCAAGTCAGCAAATTTATGATAAAGCAGGAATCTATGCAGGAACGATTGGCTCAGCTCCAAAGTGAAAACCTCTTACTCCGTCAGCAGCTGGAAGATTTGCAGAACAAGGGAATCATCAAAGAAAAGGTTGTGAATGATGTCCAGGACAGATTTAATGATATTTTCAACAAACTCAGGGCTGATACTGAAAAGCAAGTTTACCTCGTGGAAGAGAGAAACAAGGAATTAAATACCAAGTGTACTGATTTAAGGGAACAAGTCTTTAAATATGAGACTGACAAAGTAGAAAGAGAGGTAAGCTATACAATTAGAAGACATTACAGAATCAAAGAACGGCCAGGATTGGAAGGGACTTCAAGGACCATGAATCTCCAACCCCCTGCCACATGCAGGGCCACCAACCTCCACATTTAATACTGGACCAGGCTGCCCAGGGCCCCATCCAACCTGGCCTTGAACACCTCCAGGGACAGGGCATCCACAACCTCTCTGGCAGCCTGTTCCAGCACCTCAGCACTCTCTCTGTAAAGAACTTCCCCCTGACATCCAACCTAAATCTCCCCTCCCTCCACTTAAAACCATTTCCCCTTGTCCTGCAGTTATCTACCCTTTCAAAGAGTTGATTCCCCTCCTGTTTGTAGGCTCCCTTTAGGTACTGAAAGGCTGCAATGAGGTCACCCCGCAGCCTTCTTTTCTCCAGGCTGAACAAGACCAGCTCCCTCAGCCTGTCTTTGTAGGGGAGGTGCTCCACTCCCAATTGAAACATTAAAATGTTTCAATTCATAAAATGATTTTGTATTTCTAAAATGCATCAGGTATAAGTTATATGCATAGAACCAAATTATGTTGTTTTGTTGTGGTTCTTTGTTTTTTTCTTGGAATTAAGGAAGACTTTGGTAAATGGCTGAATTGTATAATCTAGTTATTTTAAAGGAGTAAAGTCAAATTTCTTGGTTTTCCTCATGTTTATCTAACTGTTTCTTTAGGGTTTGGTCAGACAGCTACAGCAGGAGCTTGCTGATGCTCTTAAAAAGCAGTCTATGTCAGAAGCTTCCCTTGAAGTTACTACACGTTACCGCAGTGACCTTGAGGAAGACAAACTGCGCTTACAAAAGGAATTGGACAGGGTTAAAACCAAGGTACAGAGAAGCTGTAACTTATACATATAAATCTGAGAGTTTTTTTCCCCTGTTTTTGGTGAAGAAGAGAAAAATAATGTTCTGAGAGCAAGTAGCAGAGAAAGTTAAGGAGGTTAGCAGTGATACCCTGTCATAATTCATGAAGCCAGTGAAATCTTTGCCAGCTGGCCTCCTGCTTTATAGTGAAAGATGAGTGTTACTGGAATCATCAAAAAGCCATCTATTTTCTTTTGCAAGTAGGAGACATTCTTCAACCCCACAGCTAAAGCTATTCTTGAGGCTTCAGGGCATTTCAGCAGTGTTCTTTCTTTTTCCAACTTGCTTCCCTCTCCTGGTGTCAAACACAACTAAGAATTTCTTTGTGTATGGGATGTTTGCACTATCTGAAGCAACATCACATGGGTGCTCTGAATTTACAAATCAATTTTCTTTGTCTTATTAGATTGGTTGTAAACACTGTAAGCAGGTCTTTACCTCCTTAGTCTTCTCAACTTGCCCCTTGTCATCTGTGATCACAGTAATACCTGTGCCAAACCAGAGCAGAGATTTCAAAGTATAAGCAAATGTTGTCCTCCTATCCTAGAAATAAATTCAAGTGTATAGATTTAATGACATGTATATGAATTGCATTGTTGTATGCACTTGGTGTCTGTGATTGGGTGGTCTTTGAGATGAGGTCGCTGTATCTTTACCTGGTGAAGATCTGTATTTGGTAAGCTGCATTGCAAAATAACCTGGTGTCTCTGCAGGTTATTGCATCTGGTTTGGCCAAGTATGTTGTCCGATTTCTTAGAAACAGTAGAAATACTGCACAGCTGAATTTGAGTTTTCCTTTTTTGCTCTCTGTGAGAGTTGTGGGTTTTTTTTTCTGAAACATATAAGAATCTACTATTGAACTGTGAAATCACTTTAGGAAAGGGATTAATTTTTTAATTAATATTTTCAATAGAATAGCAAGCAAGTAGCTACAGAGTCTCACAAGTCACTGAGAAGGTAGGATTAGCAGTGTCAGTGCTCATAATGGTGTTAGAGAAAATCGTTTGTACAGATGGGAGAGGCCATATCACAGATAATTAAATATTATCTGCTCTTGTTCACTTGCTAAGAGAAATGAGAGCTTGAATGAATTGGAAATGATTACAATACTTTGGGTAGAGGGTGTTTGTAGATATGTGCAATATTCAAATTCTTCAGCACTCACTGAGTTCTCTATAGAGAAACTAACCTGGCTGCTGAGGATTCTCACTGCTATCTTACAGTTACAGGAATCTGAAGAACAGCGTATTCAGTCTGAGCATTGTGTTCATGACTTGAAGACTGTCCTAGATAATAAGGAAAAAGAAGTATCAGTTTCTTCCCAGAAACTGCAAGACCTTCTGTTAGCAACTTCTGGAACCAATACTACTATAAAACAACTGGAAGAACATGTGCAACGGTAAGAAAATAACATAGTGAAGCAGGTTTTGCTTTCTGAGATTCTTCGAAAACGTTAGGATTGCCTTGTTGCATCATCATGGTAATACATGATTTTGAAAGAAGCTCTTGCTTTAAATTGCATGCTTTCACACTGTTCCTTTACAATTTGTGCTATTATGGATTTCTCTAATAAGATCCGTGTTTCTCTTTAAGACTTGAAATTGAAAATGCCAGATTGGAAGCCACAACCAAACAACAAACGAATAGAATTGAAGCTCTTCAGAAGGATCTGCAAGCCTCAGCCTCAGTAAGCCAGTCATAAACTTTTCATTTATTTATTTAGTGTGAGCCTCTGAGCCTAGTTAGATATCTTTCATGGGGAAGTTACATGATTTTCTTGGGGAGCATAAAGGGAGGTGAGTCACCTGAGTTGCCCTGACTGTAGGATACTCTGAAAATACTGCTGGTCCATTCTCCAGCTTTCTGGTTTTGAGAGTTTTCCTGTAATAATATATCAAGTCCTACTTAACACTATATATGGTGAGGTTTTGACACTGTTGTGCTGGTTTAAATATTTTATTCTTTATACCAGTCATGACATTAAATGACAGACACATACTGTAATGTGTATCTTGAAAGGCATTCTGCAGGTTTCTTCAGGGAAAATTCACATTTGTGATGGTCCCAAGAGCTTCATGCCAGAGGCCTGACTGACATCATCAGGCTGGGACAAGAATTATATTCCCCAGAGATTTTGTTGTGTGGAATTGCTTTTCCATTGTCTGCTTCATGTGTATTTGTTTTCATGAAATGGTAAAAGGGAATCCCCATGGTATTATTTGCTGAACTCGGTGAAAGGCTTGCAATTTCCCCCTGTTCAGTGGTATTAGCATAAATAAGGTGATTGATATTAGCATAAATAACGTGGTTTATAAGAAGCAAATTATTTTTGTATTCTAAACAATGACCAGGGGGCCTTGTTATACCTGTGGTTGTTAATTAATGTTTAAGAGGTTCTGAAAATACATGCTATACATGAAAGTTGAACTTTGTGCTGTACTGACACTGGCAGAAGAAGAGAGAAGTGCTTACTCTTCCCCCTTGGTTAAGACGGCATGGTTTTCAAATGTATAGTGGATGGGAGAAGCTCCTTTGTATGTTCATTTTTGGAGTTAGGGTAGTAGGGTTAGGTTGCAGTTGGACTTGATGATCTTGAAGGTCTTTTCCAACCTGAGCAATTCTATGATTCTGTGATTGAAGATTTTTTGTATTCCACATAGTTCTCTCCCTGAAGCCAAATGGCAGAGCTGATGTTTGCTATAGTTTTATCATAGCATCAGACTGAGGTATTTCTCATGACTGATGGTGAGGGTAAGTATGAAAAGAATAAAGTGATGGAAAGATATGTGTAAATTTTTTTTATAATAAAATGTGAACTTCAGGCTAGGAAGACAGCGTCTTCTTTGTTCTTTTGATGCTTTCTTAGGTTCATAATCGCCTAGAAGACTTGATAGCTGGCTTACGGACAGCACAGACAGCTGCAGAAGAATACCAGCATCAGCAGGTACCTCAATGACTTCTGAAAATAACTGGTTCAGTTTTTTTATTTCTTGTGTGCAGGTAATTGATTGGAAAGATTGGGTGTGCTGTAAGGTACAAATAAACTGACAAAATAGGTTTCAGGACAAGGCACCTTCAAGGGTAAAGGTTGTAAATTTCCATATTTCCCTGCTGCTTTTTCTATCTTTTCAGTGGTATGCAGATATTTGTGTTCATCGGCATGATTCTTTTGATGGATAGGTGGTTGAGAGAGCTGAGAGGGGAAACTAGACATTGGAAATCTGTCTTATCTTCAGAGCTTTGTCATAGTTTCCACCTGAGCTCATTAGATTCTTTTCCCATTTGTGAATATGTATTGGTACCGTACTGCCACACAGGGGGCTGAGGTAAGGAAAGAGCAACTAGGTGAGGTAATGCTGTGCAGTGGCAGGTAGCTGGAAAGTAGCTGGTGTGTGTGCATGGCCTAGCATCTTGTGTAACCTTGGAATATTCTTGAATTAGTTTGTTGGTGAAAAATTAAGCTGCTGTAGGGAGAGTAAGAAGGATCTAGTAGAAGGGAAAAACTGTTGGTTTTCTGCCCCAGAAAAGTGTTAGTTCTTTTCCAGGTTCCTTTTCTGTCATCTTCCTTTGGTGGCATACCAATTGGAAGCAGTCATTAGGTTTTTATACATTGTGACATATTGAGAACCAACATTTAACCTATTCTGTAAGGACACGTGAGAATGTTTTATGAGATTGTTGTGTAAGCCTTTAAGCTAAGGTTTTTATGTCCTTCTCTAGATCAGGGGGCATTTCTTTTTTTTCTTAAAGTGTACTACTCAAAGAATCTAGGCAACTTGCATTCTTTACAAAGTTAACTGAATAAGCAAACTTGTTTCCACACAAATGTATTTGTGATGCAAATCTTTGTTCCTTTGGGTAAAAGTATAAGTAACATTGCTGATCTGAACATTTTCTTGCTATGAGAAGATCTGCAGTTATTACACAGTCAGTGAGTGTAGGGAATTTTCTGTGTTGGGCACTGGATTATAAATGTAGTTATTTTTGTATCATTATGAAATCTGGAGAATTTCTTGAAGAAATTTTTGGGGTAATTTTGTATGTGTGTCTTCTTATTCCCAAAGGATGTAACCTCATTTTATCTCATATAGGGCATTCACTCTTTCCACTAGCATTAAGTGCTATCCTTGATGCCACGTTTTATAAACTCTGTATAATATTCACTATAGATCTTTAGTGGTGAGAGCTTAGCCCTGCCTTCATTTGAGTTACTAGTTTATAATGTAGTTCATGTGCAGTATTGTCTCCCTGGTTATCTTGGCATTCCTTTTGCTATTGTTGTTTCCAAGATGCAAAAGCAGAATATGTTGACTGTGACATCAAAAGAATCACGCAGTATGTGGGAGGAAGAATTGAAGTCAAGAGCCCTCCTTGAAGAACGTCTTGCTCAACTTGATAGGGAAAAGGCTGAGCTCTTGGAACAGGTGAGAAAACAGACAGTCCTTAACACCTAGCCAATACTCAGAATGATGCTGACATTTTCTTGAGTTCTTACATACTCGGCTCTTTATATCCTTGCTTGGGCCCTGAGTAATGTTGTGATTTGGGAGTCATGAAGGAATTGAATAAAAGCCAATAGAGTATATCTCTATAAATGCTGGAGTTGTCCTATCAGGAAGACAGTGTGCTTTGATACCAGTTGAGCAAATGGAGCAAGGCTGCAGTTCCTGAGTTCTCTATTTGATTTCCTTCTGGTTGTTGTCTGACCCCTTGATTTCTGGGCAGGATTAAAACACCTCTTACTTTCAGTGCAATGTATGGAAAAACTGCTCGTGTTTTCAGAACAGCGGGAGCTTAAAACACTTGCAGAATAAATAAGGTGCAAGTGCAAACTACAAAACTAGTTCCCAGCTTTCCTCTGGTTTGTCTGAGAAAACACCATGAGGAACAACACCTGAATTAGTTAACACCCACAAATAAGGTGTGGAGGTAATGACTAAGGAGACACTGATGAATTCTAGAAAAGCAGACTCTTCCATAAGAACCTGCAGGTCACTGGGAATTCCATGAATGCTCTAGAGTGTGCCTTGTTCTCCAGGGCTGTGGTTACCTATGCAAGCTGACCTATTAGCAGAGGAACTGCAGAAGCTGTTCTCTAGCATCTTTTTTCCAGCTTTTTGGGACAAAGCCCAATAAGGAGGGGGAGAAGCATTTGCTTCAGCAGGGGCACCAATTGGTATCCCTAGGTATCAGCCTGTTTGTGTGAAACCTGAAGTGATTAAATGTTCACAAGAATCTTGTGCCCCAGTGTTCTGCTGAACTTGGCGAAGGGACACGTATCTGTGTGCTACCTGCAGTTGCTACATGTAGTGTTCTGTGCTGAGTGTGACATGGTTTTTGGTTTTTTGTTGCTTTTTTTTTTTAAGTATGAGACTGAAAGAAAGAAAGTAAAGAAGCTGGTAGAGTTGAAACGACCAGTTGAAGCGCGTCTTGACCAGGAAATGAAAAGAAACGTTGAACTGCAGAAAGAATGTCACAGGTATGGTTCATTAGTACTTGAAAGAGAGTTCACATAGGCTAGAAGTCAGGCTTTATGGAACTTGAATGTAAAAGTAGGTGTGCTTAACCCTTTCTAAACAAATTCAAATCTCACATCAGTTCTTGCAGGGCAGTTCTGGTACATGAGCCTGTGGTTTTCTTGTAGGTGCCAAAAGAACTGCAAATGCAGGCTGCCCTGCACTTCTGCTGAGAGAGGGAGGTTTTTTTTCTTCTATTGAGGTGAAATTTGGACCCTCCATGTGCATTGCATTGGAATGCTGGATTTTCTTATTAACTGTTGGCATTTTGAACATGTTAAAGATGAAGCAACCCATACCTATGCTTTTCATGTGCAAGTGTGACAAATAGATTCGTAGTGCCTTTGCGTGTTTTCTGGACTGATTTGTTGTGCAGGTGCAAGAGGCTTCTGAACAGAGCTGTGAAGAAACTAAGAATGCATGAGGCCAGAGAAAGAGAGTCCCAATTTAATTTCCAGGGAGAAATGAAGAACAGGTATTCTGAAATGGTGACTGAAGTTGGAAAATTAAGAGCAAAGGCAAGTTCTGGTTGTTTCTTTGTTTTTTTTTGTTTGTTTGTTTGTTTGTGTTGTGTTGATTTATGAAGACTTGTAATATTCTTTTTAGTAGGTATAGAAAAGTTATATTTCTGGGAGAGAAGAGGAAATTGGCTTCACAGTTGACCTTGGAAACTTCTGAAATATCTCATATTTCCTAAATATTCTTGCAACCAGAGAGTGGATTTGACCTAGAGAGAAAATACTCTCCTTAACCACTGCTGTGGAAGCTGCTTTTTGAAGCACTGTTTACAGGCTTTCAAAGGCAATGGCAGGAGGAGTACTTTTTTCCTATGCCCAGTTAGCTCTGTACTGGAACATTCCCCCTGAAGCACAATAGGCATTCTTTCTGGTATCTGGGTAGAGTTGTTTGATTTTCATTAAGCGATAGAGCAGTGCACAGAAGAATGGCTCTAACACCTTTCAGTCCACTCCCACAATGAAATTCTGCTAATTTGGTACTTGTTGGTCTTTTACTTGCTGCAGAAGAACTAAGGAAGGTTGGAACTTGAGAAATCCTATTGGCAAGAACTTAAAAGCTGTTCTTCTTTTAAAAGATGAGCTTGACTTTCCTTTGACTCTGATACTGAGTCAGCAGGTGACAATTACAAATTGATGGTTTTCCTCTTTATGAATTTTCAAAGAATAATTTTACACCCTTCTAAGTTCATTTTATTACTGTCTATAGGTTGCTGAACTTTCTCAGCAGCTGGAGTTAGAGTCTAAAAAATGCATCCAGCTGGAAACACAAAACCAAGATTTGCGAGAAGAGTTGTCTGTTCTGCGTGGGAACCATGAAAAATTGGAGAAGAACAAATGCCAGCTGAAGGAAGAGGTGGCAAACCTCAGACATCATTTGGAGGCTAATATGGTGAATCACAGCCAAATAGAACAATACAAGAAAGAGATGGAAGAACGAGCTGGACAAGAAATCAGACAAAAACTACAAGAAGTCAATTTGTTTTTGCAGGTAAATGAATTTGTTTTGTATGTCTGTAGTCTTTATTATGTAACTTCTTTTTTGTCATTTTTTGTTCGTATTTTGATTCTTTGTGTTAGTGCTGTACTTTTGTCTTTCCTGAAGGGAAGTGGGAGAACAGAAAATGGTTGAGCAAAAGTGCTTTTGTGTATGTAATTTGCCTGCAGGTTCCCAAGTTAATAACGTTCCCATGACAGGCTTCTGTTTTGCAGTTCTTAGAGGCTATTGCTATGTGGTCATCTTGTTATTGCTGTTCATCAAATGAATATTGTAACTTAGAGATAGTTTGGCCATACATGCAGGACGTGTTTTATCATTGTACAGGATAAAATGCTCAGTGAAGGCGTCGCTGAAGTTACCATGGGGCAGAAAAGTGGGGATGAGATTCTTATAATTTCTCTGTCGAATCCTTTTTGTGTGCCCTGTCCTACAGACATAGCATTCTTTTAGTAGCTGCTGTGATAGAGATCTGCTCTTAGCAATATTACTTATCTGGATTAATACAGTTATTTAATGTGTTGGTTCCAGGGTTCTGCCTTGATTACTGATTGTAGTGAGGAGGTCCAGTTGTCTCAGCTGAGTAAAACTGGGTCCTTAACATTGGTTATGTGCAACTGTCTTGGGGGAGGCAGTTCACATTTTCTTTGCAATGGTTGAAATTGTGTTATCTGCTTTAGACACAGGCAGCCTCCCAGGACAGGTTAGAACAAATCAGAGCCAATCATCATGCCTCACTGAGAAACCAACTAAAGCACAGAATTAAGGATCTCGAATGTGAGTTGGACAGAATAAAAAATACTCAACAAGACATTTTTCAAAAAGAATCCACACAGGCAGAAGTGGAAAAATACAAAGAAAAGTATCTGGAAGAAGTGAAAATTAGAAAAAGCCTAGGAAATAAACTGGAAAGGTAAGTTCACGCTTTTTTGGAGTGGTAACAAGATGTGAAGTAGCAGTAGCTTGCATGAAAAACTCGGTACTATTTCCTCCTAAAATCTCTCTTCTATGTCTTGTCAGCATTATGGACATAAACCTAAGATGACATCTTTATAAAAGAGCCTTCTAAAACCTTTCCCCTTTATTTTTGGAACTACCATCATTTCACTTCGGTGTTCTAGCAGTCACACCACTGGTCGTGACATCACTAGCATGTGTTTGAAGTTGATAACGTTTTAACAGGTGGCCTGTGGGCCCCTCTCATTTTGGAGTCTTAATGCCTTCTATTTTCAAAAGCTGAAAATAGTAGCCAAAGACCTGGAAGAAGTAACTCTGCAAAAATACTACCAAAGATAATTCTTTGTATGTTTTTAAATGTTTCAGAGCCAATGAGAGACTAGCAGAAGCCAATGCTAAGCTCCTTCAGGAGCGCCACAGAAACAAATCTTTAATTGCAAGCAGTATTGTCACAGGAGGTCTGTCTTCAAGTCCAGTTCTGTATTCAACTGAACTGGGGCATCTTGGCAACAATTTGGCACTGAACAGAAGTCTCAGCCTAGGAGGAAGCTTCATAGGCGCAGCTGGGAATGCGTTATCATCAAGAAACAAGGTTGAAGCCTACATGGCTAAGGTAAGCATTGTGAAATACTCTTCAGTGGTGAAGACTTTTGGTCATCAAGACTGTACAGAATTCCAAGAGTGCTCAGACACCAAAAATACTGGCATCTAAATGATGAACTATCTAACATATATATACCTATCATACCTATGTACATATACAAGGGGTTTTTTGGGTGTTTTTTTTTTTTTTTTTTCAACAAGAGAGAATTTAGTAAGCAGTGCTGTGGCTTTGGAAGTTCCCAGCTAAGCTGTTTATTAAACTTTAATATATAGTATGTGTATAAGCGTATGATATACTTTAAATGGATAACTTTGACATCTTTGCCCTGCCTATCAGACATCTCTTGTCAAGCCACTTTTTCTTTCCTTACTGATCTTCATTTTTACTTTTAGTACATTAATACTAACAAAGACATGCTTCAAAACTAGGATGATATGAGTATGATTTCTTTGCTTCTTTCTATACAGTCTGCCGTGGGATGCATGCTGTGCCTAGGAAACATTTCTCTTTGTGCTTCCTGCTATGTATTATTACCTGAGAAAATAACAACCTACTCTTCAAGAAGTCTTCACAGCTTTCTAATATTTTGCAGCAATTTCTATATGATTGCATCCTCTGCAGTAGCTCTGAAGTACTTTACCAGTTGTGCTGCTTAGTACTTTGCCTGTTCACCAGACTACGTAAAAAGACAAGAGTTTATCTGACTGAGCCTTTTCTTTGCTTCAGTTATACCTCAGATTTTTCCAGTAATCTGTTCCCTTCTGTTGAGAGGGGAAAAAAAAAGAAAAAAGAAGAAAAAAAAAAAAGAAAAAAAACAACCACCTCTGTATTGCCATTAAATTCAGGCTAAGTGCTGCCTTCTTGGATGGAAAAGATTACAAGTAGTCCTGACAGTAAAGCTCATAATGACAGGGAGTTAAGGAGCTTAAGTTGCAGTCACATAGTCATCTTGCACTTGTGTTTTTATTTAAAGCTCTGTGTGCACATTTGGTGTTTTTCAAAGTAAGGGAGGTTATCTGAAGTAGACTGTATGCATCTCCTGGGAGGAGGAGGCTCGTGTAGATTTTGACTTTGATTTGTGCAAAAGCTCTGAAATAGCTACAAGGACAAGGAGCTGAAAATACTTCACACTGCCATCATTCAAATTGCTGGTATCAATTATTTTGTCCACGCAACTGTTAGAAGAAACAAACTGTGCCGATTATAAACAAGAGGAAGAAATGCTGCTCTGACAAGTAGGCACAGAAAATAATGGTGAACTCTGCTAGCTGCAACCAGTGCAAGTGCATGGATTTATGAAACCAGTTTTCCTACTGGTAGCATAAGAAAAGGAACACTTTCTTCCCATTCCATCTCTCAGTTTCTGTTCCTTTTCTGATTTTATTTTCTGTCTTCCTGTTTTGTAGCAGTTTTAAGAATTTCCTTTCTTTTGACTTTTGTCCATTACTCTAGTTCTTTTACTTGGCACCACTGAGAAGAGTCTAGCTTGTCTTCTTTATACTCCATCCCACAGTCAGATAGTTACACCTGTAGGTGAAACCCCGAATCTTCTCTTTTCCAGGCTGAACAGTCCTGGTGCTCTCAGCCTCTCTACATAAGCCACATGCTCCAAGCACTTAACTGTATTTGCTAATCACATATGTCTGGAAGCTGTATGCTGTCTGTTTTGACAATTACTTCTGTGTGTTGCAGGAGTCACAAATATCATCAAATGTAAACAGTAGCATACAGTTGGGCTGTGGCCCTTTAAAAGGTCTGATGTCTCCTTATGAAGACTTTGCATTCAGAATAAATGACAGTAAATAAACAGCTCCTGGGAGAGCAAGGGGTAAATGCTCCTTTGTAGTGATCCAAGCTGGTTTCTGTTACATAATAAAAAGTGCAACACTTGCTTTGTAAGCAAGTTAACAAGAAAGTTAACAAAGGAATAATGTGTTTTTATATTTTTATATGTATTTGAAGATAGACATTAACCATGTGTACATTTTTATAAAACCACTCTGCTTTCTTCCTGTATTTTTTATGATCCAACTGGTGAATTATAGATTGCTTTGTGCTAAAGTTAACGTTGCCCAGCAATGAGAACGCTACAGCCTCACTGACCAGGAGATTGTCATTATGAAAAATCAAACTCCAAACCAAGATGTCCCCATTTGGGATGGCATTTTAGGTTTCAAACACACATTATGTGTGGGTTTTAAAGTTGTTTTAGAAGTTTTATTTGCAAAAATGGAACTTGAAATCTCAATTATGTGTTACGTATAATTCTAGATACGGAAGGAACTGGATGAAAAAATCACTAAAGAACTTGAACAAGGTAATGTGCTGCTCTGATATCAGTGTTTTTAAGGAAGATTATGACTGTTTGTAACTTTTATATAATTATTTTCAAAAGTTGTCAAGATCCTGTTTGAAGCACAGTGTTGTTGTTTTTTTAACTCTCTAATTTAGAGTTTTAATGGAAAACTTCCTGCTTACCAAAATACTGGTCAGAATGTTCTGCAGTTACTTTTGAGAAAAAGCACGGAGAACAAACCATCTCCCCCACACAGATACACTTGGCTTAAGCTGAAGTCACCTTTCGTCCTTAGGCACAAACATCAAATGAAAAAGAGCCCTGAAATAAGATTTTTATAGACTTCAGTCATCACACCTCTTTCTGCATTCATTCATTGCATTCAGCATTTCAAGTATACCATATATATCTTCTGGTGTTCTTGATTTTTGCTATCTCTTTTTCATTGCTTTTGTTTGTATCTCACATATTGTCATAGTCATCTTTGGATAAAGAAGAATCAGTAGAAAAGATAGCCTTTCTTTAGGTAAAAATCATTCAGTAATATTCAGGAAAACAGCATGAATTGATCACTTTCAATATACAGTGTAAAGCATGTTTTGTAGTACAAGACCACGTCTTCAGAGAGGAATTCCACCTGTTTCATAATTATCATTCTGCCAGAGTCCCTGCTGTTGTGCATAGAGACACTGGAACAGGTTGCCTGGAGAGGTTATGCATGCCCCCCCTCCCCCTTTGCAGGCATTCAGGGCCAGGCTAGATGGGGCTTTGGGCAACCTGGTCTAAAGGAAGGAGTCCCTGCCCCTAGTAGGGGATTGGAACTAGATGATCTTAAAAGGTCCCTTCCAGCCCAAACCATTCTGTGATTCTAAGACCTCTGGAATTTCTTTCTCTAGTGTTGACTGATAACTGAATTTGAAAAAATGTTTTTTTCTTTCTGCCTGTCCTTTTTTATTTTTATTTTCCTTGGAAGTTTTTAAATCTTTCTCCAGAGTGTAGCTTGTTCAGTTACCAGTAATGTTTTTACAGTGGCTTATTTGACTCAATCTGCTGTAAAAGTAACATCATGAATCTCGTTTCTTTTCTTTCCAGCCACTGCTGAACTTGAAACTGGATCTGCTGGAGCTTCTCCAATGGTATCTACTGATGGATCTTCAAAAAATCTCAATGTTGACCAGGATCCCCTTTGCAGAGCAATACAGGAGTACCGCGATGTTTTAACCAAAAATTATCTGATCTAAACAAAAATGCAAAGGGAAAAGTACTGGAAATCATTTTGTTTACATAGGGTGTCTTTGATTTCCCATCCTGCAGCGTGGATGTGGAAACATCTTTATATTCAAACTGCAATAAATTCAAAACGTATTAAATAGGTGTCAAGCACTCTGCACTTACCTGTCGGTCACTGAGGTATAGTTAGTTTATTTTGCACTCAGAATAAGAACCATATCTATTTTTTCTTACTATCAGATTGAGTAATGTTGATTCTTGAACTTGACAGAACTGTCAGAATGTTTTTGATGCGTTATTTTGCTCCACTTGTGTTCCATGTTTTAACAAAAGCATTCCCCTTGTTCTGTTTAATCCTTTCACTGTTTATGTGTTTCCAGTGTTATTTTAATGCATAGGAGGTTATTTGATTGGCTTTCTGCCAGCTGTTTCAGTCCTGATGCTGTGAATATTTCTGCTGATTAAGTGAAAGTTATACCAGTGTTTAAGCTGGAGAGGAATGCACTTTACATTGTTGTCACTTTTACGCACCTTGGGTTTAAAAATACTGTGAGTGTGTAGTAGTGCCAAGAAAGCTTTAATGTGATCTTTTTGGTATTTTTGTTTTGGTATCCATGTTTGGGTTTTGCATTAGAATTTGATTCAACTTAAGATATTCGCAGTTGCTAGATCAACATATGATGAACCTGAAGCAGTTCATACTGGGAAGAAGGAAAATAAACATTTCAACCTTCCGTCCAATTGGTACTTAACACTATTTGTGTGATAGGACAAATTTTTGTTGCTGCTAACAGCTGGTGATAAAATAGCTGCAACTCAGGTGAAGAGTAATGCTGTGGGACTTTGTGTCTATAAGACAAGCAGTTTCGCTAACAGTTACGTGTTACTGAAGATCTGCAGTAGTCATTCCTTGTCTATAAAATTTGCTAAAATACTACACAACAAATGAAATCAACGTTCCAGAGACATGAGAATGTTATACTGAGGCAAACAGAAACTGGAAAAAAAATTTTTACCCACTAATTCAGCAACTTGACTTAACAAGCAGTGAGGAGATGTAATGAATGTTGCTGCAACTCTCTGCTCTTTTTATATGAATACAATTTTGTGACACTAATACACTGTATTTAATTCCAGATATTATGTTCCAACTTGGTATTTAATAAACTTTCATATCTAATATGTCTTTGTTTTTTACTCAATTGACCTTCTTGACTTCGCTTTCCACCTCATTCTTCACCTCTATGACTTGCTACAGCTCTCCTCTGCTCACTTCATCCATATTTCTGGTGCCTTCACTCACTTCTGGTGCACTCACATCACTGCTTCTCAGTCTGCCCTGAGATCAGATAAATGGCCAGCATGCATTTGTGTCCTTTTCCTCGTTGGGTACTTGAAGCATGATTGTGTAAAGATTGTGCATCATCAGGGACTAAATAGAGGTATTGCTACCACTCACTTTCTAGACTCCTGCATTTTAGAGTAATTCTTCCTGTGGTCTGATCAGAAGGTGGTGGGCAAGCACTTGGGCTGGAGGAATCCCAGGCATCCATACAGACTGGAAGGAGCGGTCCTTGAGAGCAGCCCTGCAGAGAAGGACCAGGGGATCTTGATAGATGAAAAACTTAATATGAGCCAGCAGTGTGCCCTTGCAGCTTGGAAGGCAAATGGGATCCTGGGCTCCATCAAAAGAGGGGTGGCCAGCAGGGACAGGGAGGTGATTGTCCCCCTCTACTCTGCTCTTGTGAGTCCCCATCTGCAATACTGCATCCAAATGTGGAGCCCCCAGTACAAGAAAGACAGGGAGCTGTTGGAGAGGGTCCAGAGGAGGGCCACAAAGATGATCAGGGGACTGGAGCACCTCCCCTATGAGGACAGGCTGAGGGAGCTGGGCTTGTTCAGCCTGGAGAAAAGAAGGCTGCAGGGTGACCTCATCGTAGCATTTCAATACCTAAAGGGAGCCTACAGAGGGGAGGAGAATCAACTCTTTGAAAGGGTAGATAGCTGCAGGACAAGGGGAAATGGTTTTAAGTTGAGGGAGGGGAGATTTAGGTTGGATGTCAGGGGGAAATTCTTTACAGAGAGAGTGGTGAGGTACTGGAACAGCTGCCCAGAGAGGCTGTGGATGCCCTGTCCTTAGAAGTGTTCAAGGCCAGATTGGATGGGGCCCTGGGCAGCCTGGTCTAGCATTAAATGTGGAGGTTGATGGCCCTGCATGTGGCAGGGGGGTTGGAATTTCACGATCCTTGAGGTCCCTTCTAACCCTGGCCATTCTGTGATTCTGTGATCTCAGTAGCTTTAATGTCATAAGCTTTGTCATCATAGAAATTAAGGCATGTATGCTTGAAACAAGTATGGAGAGGTGTGATTCTAACAGGCGTGCTGAAACACTTTCTGGTTTTCAGTGGTGATGCATTAATAGGAAACCAAGAGTAAAGTCTTTGTTGTAAATCTGGCCATGCTTGGGGGGATCTTTGGGGCCCTTTCTGCAGAAGATTTGCTATCCCTTCATGAGATAACCTCTGGTGGCCCTTTGTGCTCTCTCTAGTTGGTACAAGAAAGGAGCCAAGTGGAAGAATACCTGCAGCAGAGTCCACTGTACTTGGAGGACACTCAGGCCTCGTTGAAAGGGGAAGCTATGAGATTCATCAGCGTCCAAAGCCCTTGGTATCCTTCCTCGGTCAGCTTTCAGCAATTCAGCTACTGCACCGTGAAAGCTACTCCAGATGTGGCCACAGGAGGTCAGAATAGAGCAGAACAATTCTCTTCCTCACCCTACCGGCCTCCCATCTTCTGCAGCCCGGAATACAGCTGGCCTTCTGTTCTGCAAGCACACATTGCTGGTTCATGTCCACCAGGACCCTAAACTACATTCTTTCCACTTTTCTCCCATTCTTAAAAATGAGAGTAATGTTTCTGTGATTCCCTTTTTCCAATCACCAGGGACTTTTCAAATATGATGGAGAGTAGCTTGGCAGACCCATCAGCCAGTTCCTTCAGAACCCTGGGATGCCATGTTGTCCAGCCCTATAGACTTGTATATGTTCAGTCTCATGAGGCAGCCTGGGGCTTGCTTTTGCCTTACAGTAGTGTCATTTCTCTTAAATTGTTGACAAGGAGGAGAGATTTTGCTCCCCCAAACCCCACCTGGAGGTTCAGGAACATGGGAAACCTGACTGACAGCAAAGCACTCAGAGTGTCTCATGCTTCTCCATGTTTGTTAAAGGCAGTTCTCCCTCCTCTTTTATCAGAGGGAGTACACACTCCCTGGTCTGTCACTTCTGACAAGTGCACTTGTAGACTCCCTTCTGGTTATTTTTCACATCCCTCACCAAGTTCAGTTCCATCTGTGCCTTGGCCTTCCTGATCCCATATATGTCCAGACAGCATCCCCATCCTCTTCCCAGTTACCTGTCCCTGCTTCTACTGCATACAGCAAGCATGTGGAGCAAGGCTAACCAAAGTCATATTAAAACTAATGCCACCACAAAAGGGCAAAGAGTTGGTAATTGGGAACTCCTTGCTGGGAGGCACTGAGGCCCCCCTTTTGCTACCCAAATAACCTTTCCAGAGAGGTTTGCTGTTTTCTGGGGGCATATGTCAGAGATGTTAAGAAGACTCTACTGCATCTGATAAAACAGAAGACTACTACCCGAATGTCATTCAAATAGAGTCACAGGAGGCTGCAACAAGGAAATTACAGAACACTAAAAGGGACTTTGCATCTCTTGGAAAGACATTGAAGGGATCAGGAGCACAAATAGTGTTCTCTGTCCTCCTGACTGGGGGCTGGGAAAAGAAGGGGGAGAATGGGTCAGGTAAATTACAGGCTGAGGTGATGGTGTCAGGATCAAGGTTTTGGGTACTATGATTTTGGGCAGGCCTTTGAGAGACGGGGTATGTGGACATCAGACAGAATGTGAGAGTAGATGGGGAAAAAGTGTGCTGGGGAGCAAGCTGGCTGGATTGATTACCAGAGCTTTAAACAAGATTCAGTGCAGGAAGGGGATAGAGTTCCCTGTGATAGAGAAGGACTAGGGAATGCTGTCATTTAAGGAAATTGCAGGGAAAAACCTCTCGATTTTCCCACAGGATCTTGTGAACACTCCTCAGAGAAGATAACATTGCTAATAGCCTGGCATCCTCTGCTTCCCTAAAGTGCCTTATACTAATGCACATGGCATGGGAAATAAAGAGGAAGAACTAGAGATGTCTGTGTGGTCACAGAGCAATGATCTCACTGTGTTCACAGAGGCTTGGGGGGACAGCTCACATGACTGGAATACTATCATGGATGGCTATGTGCTGTTTGGGAAAAACAGGGTAGCAAGGCAAGGTGGTGGAGTTGCTCTTTATGTGAGAGGGCAACTAGAATATATTAAGTTCTACCTGGGGTGAATGATGAACAAGTGGAGAGCTTGTGGGTAAGAATTAAGGGATAGACTAACACAGGTGATGCTATTGTGGGTGTGAACTACAGGCCACCTTATCACGATGCAACAGTAACTTTGGTACTTTTATAAATAGTGTTCAGGTACTCAAAGGCCTGAGAGGACAATGTGCCAGCCAGGAATGACTGATGCTCTACACTGCTGTGGGCATATCTGTGCACTGGAGCCAAACATTAGCAGTGGGATGGTCTGGAGATTCCCTTTCAGCTGAAGGCAGTTCTGTTGGCAGCTATGCTCTTCTACTGATGGTCAGAAAAAGGACAAATAGAACCAAATCCAAAACTACAGGCATTACATGATGTGGTTGTAAAGAATCATACATGTCTTATCCACAAATAAAATAGTGCAGACCCCAGAGTGAAGGCTGCCTTTCTTACTGCTTTCTGCCCTCTCTGGACTAATAAAAACAGTGATGTTGGAAGTTGTTAGAGTGTAAAACTCAAATGACTTGACCAATCTTGTGAACTACGCGGGCTGTTAAACCAGTCTCTGGATAAAACAGGAGGCTGTCCCCTCTACCCACATAACAATCAACACAAATTATAACAGTAGTTAACTCCATCGACCATTTTAATTATTTCATTTCACACCAAAGACTGCTTCCATTCTGATCCTAACAATTTTAACTTAAAGAATCATAAAGCTGCCTTTTCAAAGACCTCAAGCATTTCCAGCTCCTGACTCAAACTGTATTTGTGGCTGACGTGCATCCAGGATGAGGTGGGACAAGCTGTAGAAGAAACACGGTGAGAAGCAAGAAAGCAGTTTCCGGGTATTTGATGAGCGCGCACTTTGCACTTGTGGTTTAATCATGGAAATCATTCTGCGTGCTGCTCCCACTAATGAGCTGATTGTTAGCAGAAAGGCGGGACCCGCTCCTATTGACTGTTTACATCTTCATGTGCCCTGTTTTTGAAATCGAGTTCCAAACGAACTGAGGTTCTATTGTGTGATATTTCCTCTGTAGCATCACACGTTTTCAATCAGCATCAACTCCTCGGCCATAATCGCTTCCTCCTTGGCTTCTGCTCAGCATTGCACTGCGCCTCGCTGCAGAACAGAGCTTCCATGGGCTGTACGTGTCAATGGCACTTGGTTTGCAGTTGGTAAGAAGTGTTCTTAATTACTATTTAATCACATTTCCATTAATGAAAATGGAAATGGAAGCTCAGCATGAAATGAAATAATAGCTTTTTTTTTTTTTTCCTTTTACATATACATATGTTTTTGCTGGTCTTTTGCACTTGTGTTGCTTTTTTAAGCAGTTTTGGGATACTGAGGACACTATGACACCTGCACGTTCCATCAGTGCAGACGCTCACCATAATCCACCAGAATCTCAGGTTGGATGGTTAGCAGAAACACTGCAGCATGTAGCTGCAGCGTAAGCTGAGCTGAGTTTGAAATTATACAGGTGAGAATTCGCAAACATTTAAGCACAACAATCCCAAGCAAGAACCACATCTTAGGAATTTTACAACATTCTAATGCCCTAAAATAATTTTGAGAATGTTTTCTCACAGTTTTCCAGTGCTTCTCACAACGTAATGTGCACATTGTGTCTGTTCACGAGAACTTAGCTCTGATGAGTGCTGCTGTACAGCTGAATCTTGCCCACCTCCAACAGGCTGCTGTCCCACTTCTTCTTTCTTTTTGATGGACTTCTGTTTCTCTGATTTTTCCACCTGTACAATTTCCATTCCAGTTTCCATGTAATACATTGTAATCATCACTACTGGCAAAATTTACACTGATGTCAAGAAAATATAAATCTCGAGTAGAAAACAAAACAGTGATGACGAGGAAGTGGCGGAAACGACCACTAATGATGTTTCAGAGAACAAAAATTGTGCAGGGACTGCCCTCCTCCTGCCCTTGTGTCCCCATGAGTAACCAACACCGTTTATGTAAAAGTGCAAGTGGTGGGCAAGGAGTTCAGCGTGGAGTGACATTTCTTGGCATCTGCTCAGGGGCAGCGTTACT